ATGTAAAAGCAATTATGTACTAATCAGAGCCTCTCATTGGGGCGAAAAAGTGGTGTCACAGATTTGGGTTGAGGGGAGAATATTATGTCTTTAAGAGAAAAACGCTTGTACATATACAGCAGGCCCTCGTTTATCTCAGTTAATCGGTTCCAGAAAACTGCTATAGAGTGAAGCGGCCAAAGTAAAGTGTGGCGAGGGACGACTGTGTATAAATAAAAATCCTACTTCGCAGAAATTCATTTATCACGGTAGAGTCTAGAACTGATTAACTGCAATAAACGAGGGCCCCCTGTATTTTTATCATTACTAAAGACTTTTGTGTTGCAAATATTGTAAACTACATGATCAGTGCATTAGCAGATCTATTTTTTTTTATAATGCTGCACATTTGAACAAAACTTTGTCACTGATAATGATATTGTTGATGCCTTTATCTATACTGGAGAATTCTGCAAGCTACTTAAGTATAAAATTTGAGTTTTGCTCATCATGTCTCTTAATGTTGAATTCTTTACAAGATTTTTTCATTGCAAATAACATTGAAAACAAAAAATACTTCTCGCTCCAGTGACTTACAGACACATGATTTCCATCAGCCACTATTCTATAATTGGCAGCAGTCACGACAAGGTCTGAAAGTGCATCTAGAAAGCAGCCCTTCTCAGCCTCTTGCTAAGGACCTCTTTCATCTCTCTCCAGGAGAGAAGAGGAAACACAAGAAGAAGCGCCTGGTGTAGAGCCCACTTCCTACTTTATGGATGTGAAATGTCCAGGATGCTATAAAATCACCAAGGTCGTTAGCCATGCACAAATGGTAGTTTTGTGTGTGGGCTGCTCCACGGTCCTCCGTTAGCCTGCAGGAGGAAAAGCAAGGCTTCTAGAGGGTGCTCCGTCAGCACTAAAAGCACCTGAGTCAAGGGGAGTGAGGAACCATTCCAATAAACACATTTTGGATGCATCCTAAGCACTGTCTTGTTTTACTGCTAGAGCCATTTGGGGCAATCTATGAAATAAAATGAAAGCAGTTTCCAAGTCAAAATCCATGGTGTTGAACAAAAGAAGTCCTTACCTAGGAAGATGAAAGCTGTTGATGCCAACACTGCAAAGAGGGTAAAGAGGAGGATCTGATAGGAACCTACGAACTTCTGGAGGAAGTTCACCTTCACACTGACCTATGCATTGGTCAGAACAAAGGAAGATAAGTTATTTGATAACACAGCCAGGGCAGATGCTGCATTTTAAACAATGTGTGGTCATAAAAGTATCTAGCAGCAGCACTCAAAACCCAGCCCTCTAGAAAATAGTTTTACTTCTTAGCAGCTTAAAGAGGTAAACTATACTTGGCTCCATCTTTTTGGCTTTTTCCTATCTCCAAAGTAATAAACTTCTCCAATTCTTGAGCCTCTTATTTCTTCCTCTCAGCTTACCAAGGGATATTTACATCCTCTGCCACTTGAAAGTGCCTGCCTGTTAACTTTATATGCACTTGAACTCCAGGTGACATGCTTCCCTTCCCCAAATTTGTGGCAATCTGCGTGATTGGCTTTCTAAATCTAATCTCCCCAACGTAAAATGTTTCTTTGGATCTCCAGTGACCTCTTAAATCCAGAGGCCCCTTATCCCTTTTTACTCACGACATCGTTTCTAGGGAACATTCTGATTTGTATATAAACTTCTCCTTAATAAAACTTTACACTCCTGCCCTGGCCAGTTTGGCTCACTGGTTAGAGCAATGGCCCATGGACCAAGGAGTCATGGGTTTGACTCCCATCAAGGGCATGTACCTCGGCTGCTGTTTGGTCCCCAGCCCTGGTCGGGATCGTGCGGGAGACAACCAATCAATGTGTCTCTCTCACATTGATGTTTCTCTTTCTCTCTATCTTTCTCTCCCCCTCCCTCCCACTCTATCTAGAGAAGGATAGAAAAATATCCTCAGGTGAGGATTAAAAAAAAAGTGTATACTCCTCTCTTTGAAGCATAAGATAGAGAGATGATAGACAGATAGATAGATAGATAGATAGATAGATAGATAGATAGATGATAGATAGATAGATAGATAGATAGATAGATAGATAGATAGAGCCACTATAGTGTGGCTTCTGCCTGCTAACCTGTGTCACACCCAAAATGCTACAGTCTCCCCTGTTGACACTCATAACAGCCTTTATTTTCCTTCATAGCACTTAGCCCACAATTTTTGTATCTTTTTCTATGTATCTCACATGTGTCATTATTATAAAATCATAAATTAAGGTTATACAAAATTACATACCTGAATAGTTACTTATTTTCTGTGTCTATTCTTCTGATGCACATTCCATGGAATCAGGGACTAGACGAATTTTTCTCCCCCATCATTCCACCAGTACACCAGAGTGCCTGACACACAGGAGGTGCAAACTAAATAATTTTTTTGATAAATCAATATTGAGATGAAAAAGACTGCTCTATCACTCTGCAATGGCACCAAGTCCCTCAATGTTATTTTTTCCACATCCAGGGCCGTCAACGACACTCTCCATCACCTGGCAGACCTGGTCAGGGGGTCCTCCCTTGCCCCTGATTCAGTAGCATGCAGAATGCCCCTCAGTGAGTGCGGAGTCGGGATGGGAATGACGGTGAAGCAGCAGGGGCCTCATCCGCTCTTCACTGCTTCAGAGACGTTTGTTGCTGAACAGTTCCCAAAATTTCTAGTTATTTTCATGGTGTCCTCCTCTACTTTGGGTCTCCAAAACTTTATTTTTATATATATATAAAGGGATGTATCACAAAATTATATGAATTATGCATTTTCAAGTTATTTGACATAAATCAAGTTTTGAAAGCTTAATTCTGGATACTCAGTGGCACTTAGCCCCTTTCTAATAAGTACCAATCTCAATTCATACATTCATTAAAACTTTTTACTATTCTCATTATTTTCACATTTTCATTATATGTTCTTCAAAATAAAATGGTGGCTTTGCCACAATCCACACAAATCAGCTGATATATTAACTAAGACCAAAAGAAACTAGTCAAATGAAAACAGTATCATCCACCGTGGCTGGTTTGGCTCAGTGTTTAGAGCATCAGCCTGCAGACCAAAGAGTCCTGGATTCAATTCCCAGTCAAGGGCACATAGCTCAGTTGCTGGTTCAATCCCTGGCCCCGGTTGGGGTTGTGCGGGAGGCAACCAATCGATATGTCTCTCTAACATCAATGTTTCTCTCTCTCTCTCTTTCCCTCCCTCCCACTCTACAAATAAAATCAGTGAAAAAGTATCCTCAGGGGAGGAAAAAAATGAACAAACAAAACAAAAAATCAGCATCATCCAAGATGGGTAGGAATCCATATAAAAGGATCAATCAGAAATGAAGACTATGATAGCTGAAATGAAAAATAAACTGGAAGAAATAAACAGTAGGTTGGATGAAGCACAGGATTGAATCAGTGATTTGAAAGACCAGATAGAAGATGGATAGAGCCACATGAACCACTCAGGTCTAACTCATCATAATTAGCATAAATTCATACTTGTCACAGAGCAAAGCCTAGTGAGAAGGACCCACACCTGTCTCCCTGTCACCCTCCATAACCTATAAAACCTTTATCACCATAAACAAGTTATGCAGATGTAAAGTTAACCAAACATTTGTAAACCACAATTCTAATTTGATACTGACCAAGTTTTCTAGTCAACAGGTTATAAAGTGGTTTGTAATTTATAACTATCATTTAGAATAAAAACCTATAAAAAGTTCCTCAAATAGTATTTTCTTTAATAATGAAAGCCCATGTGAAGTCCCAATACACCATCTAAGACTTTGATCCTTTTCCTATTTTTTAATTCCAATCATTTTATTTTTTCAAGTCAACAGAAACCTTGACCATGCTCTCACACTTGTTTTTATTTTTCCTATATTATTGTCGAATCTTTGTGCACATGCAAATACATTTTACAGTTATAATTTGACAGTTATAATTTAAGTTATAAGTTGACATTTTGTTAACTTTATCTTTCAATCAGTACATGCTTAACATTTCCATATTATAAAACCTTGACTATAGTTGTTCATGGATGCCTAATATCTCCTAATTTCCTTAAGCATAGCCTTATTATTGAACTTAAGGCATTTTTCACTTATTTGTTATTGAATACATTTTTATATATAAAATGTTAAAGTCTTTTAAATGGTTTCCTTGGTATGGATTTCCAGGAGAGAAAATGAGGACCAAAGCCCGTGAACATTTTTGCGCTTCTTTCTGTGCTTAGTTATTTAACTATACTTTACAAAAAGGATGGGTTGGGTTACATTGCTCTGAGAGTCTGTGAGTTAAACCCTTTCACAAAGACCTCACCATAATTTACTTTTAGCTTTAATTTTTTCTTCTAAAGTTATCAATTAGTATATTATTATTAATTATCAGTGAGGTTGAACATTACATGCTTATTCTATAGGATTAGATGAATTGTCTATTCATCCATTCACATTCTTATCCCAGTCTTCTATTTCTTTCTATTTTTAAAAAGGTCTTTTTAATTGGCTGCTTGAGCCATGAACATAAATCTTTTAACCTGACCTAAATGCAAAATGGCAATAAAAGCAAAATCAGCACAAATTTGCCACATTACCTCATAGAACTGGGCTGTCACCAGGAGCACATTAACAGAAGAATAATCCTTTTAAGGGAAATACTGTCTACTTAGCCTAGTCAGTCCTGAGACTTGAAGGAAGAAGAAAATGTGTTACTGTAAATTTGAGGGCCATGCTTTACTAGGACGTTGTAAATTTACCTTTAAATCACCAAGTAACTTTTCAACAAACACAGTGATTGGTCATTAATGATGAAACAGGTTAAATGTAATTAAGCATCCGACTAAGGAGAGGGAAAGCATATGCAGCCCATTAATCATGATCAGCCTGATTCACACGTCGTTCCTCGCTCATAGAAGATAAAGGTTATTATAGTTTGTATGCTGCATTTCCCAAAGTACTGGTTGGGGGACACGCCCCACTTCACTTGACATCACAGAGGAGAGCGACCCCACGGAGCACCCAGTGTTCAGGGGCCTGGACCGTCCTGAGTTCCACAGCAGCGATGTAATTCAAGTCCGTTCGGACTGGCTTCTTGTAGATGGGGCAGGAGTAAAACCGGGGATCTCTTAGAGCTATAAAAGAAATTCATACAGGAAAAACACTTGGTGAATTTCCAATTTAAGGAATCCAAACAGTGCAGAGCCAAAGCGTGCATTTTGAAGGTCGTTCCAAAGATAAATGGGTTTGGTAAAATGAGGGAAATGCTTCCTGAAATCAGTCAGTGCCTAGATGTGAAACAGACACTACCACAGCTTTCCAGTGGGCAAGACAAGATACCCAGGCTACTCAGGTTTTCCCCACCGGCCCCTTGTTTCATGTCGATGACAGTAACCCCTGCCCATACAATGTGACCATGAACCTCCCACTTCCTCCCTCTCTACCTGGCAATTCAACAGTCCCCGCTACCTTTCTCCTTTACTTCCCACCAAATCCTGTGCTCTCCCACCCTCTCTGGGTTTCCCTCATAGCTTGCCTTTGGCATGAGGCACCTGCCCCTTTTAATCAGAGAGCCAGAACTAGTGCTCACTATTATTATTATTATTGTTATTATTATTATTATTATTTCAAAATCCTGTCTTCAACCCTCTGTGCCACAAACAAAACCATACTTGGAATGATAAGACAGAGATGCTCCTCACTTCTGCAAGGTGCAGTGAGTTCTTCATTTGTGTTGAGAAATAAAAGTGGCCGGGAAGCAGGGTCATGGCAGAGTCCAGCTTCCTGAGATTCAATCTACCCTTTTGAAGTTGAGGACTTCTTAGAGTATCCAAAGCCACACATGCCATGAAAGACAGCCTGTGGATGGCCACCCTACAAAGATCCTCTCTAATGTATGCATCCCTAACCAAAGGCTCACTTTCTCTCCAGTCTTAGAAACTCCATGATCAGGGACAGATCCAGGTCTTGTCAGGCCATGAACATACAGTTTTGGGGAAAGTGCTCTTTAAGTAAAAGAGTACAGATTTACAAATACATAAGTAGGCTTTGGAAGGCGCCTCAGCATTGAGTGGCCTTGGGTTTTAAGCTTCATTAGGTTCTTGTTAAATCTACTCAGCCCAGAATAGGTTATCTGCACACCTCACAACATCCATCTTGGGAGGCACTATATTATTTCCCCCTCTCTTCCAGATTATAAATTTCTTCAGGACAAAAGTTGTGTCTGCACCCATCCCTGTAGTGCTCTGGAAGGCCAATATTATAAATGACCCTCATATAACTATTGAGATGAAAGCACATTTAACAGAGAGGACAGCTTTATTTTGGTGAATTAGTGTTACAAACATGGGCACTGATACATGAAAACAGTAACTTTCTAAATGCAATGTTAGTATATCAAAGTGACTGAATTTATTTCCCCAACATGCTCAATAATTTAGCTTTTTCTAACACATTATAAAAGCAAGACACCATCAGAAGTTAAAGTCTCATTTGTTGGCCCAATAAAACCTTCAGCCTATTGTGCCATGTTTTCATACCTCCACCATAATTAATGTTATTGGAAGAAGTTAAACAATTGAATATGATAGTATTACAGATAAGTTGCAATATAAAAGTAATACTCTAAAGTAGTGATTCTTAACTGGGGGAGATTTTGCCCCCAGAGGGTGGGGCATTTGCCAATATCTGAAGACATTTTTGGTGATCACAACTGGGAGGTGCTACTAGCAAACAGTGGGTAAAGGCCAGGGATTCTGCTACATCTTATAATGCATCGGGAAGCCCCACACAACAGAGTATTCGAGACCAAAAATGTCAATAGTACCACAGTTGAGAACCCCTGTTCTAAAACAGATATTTTACAGTACTTTAAAACTATGAGTTTGTTTAACCACATAGAATTAATCATGAGAAACCATCTAAATTAACATAACAACTAATTTTTAAGTGTAGGTATTATCTTTTAAATTATCATGGGAATATCATTAGTAATAATAATTAAGCAAATATATGAATATATGTTAATGATATTAAATTCATGAAGTGTAGTCAATACTAACAAATATAATTAAACCCTGTAATTTTAGGATCTATAAATAGAATAAATACATAACTGCTAGTTCTTCTGGATGAAATTTGAGTAACAATCATTTCATAAATCTTGAAGTAAGCCATTGGAGTCTTACATTTGAACCAGATGATAATTACAATAATTACACCTTGGCAAGTATTTGACTACTTACCTTTTAATCCCCAAAAAAAAATAGAATTGGAAAAATAGTACCCTTTTCTATAAGTAGGTAAAAATTCTCTGAAACACTCGTCCAATTTTATTTATTTTTAATTGCTACGGAACTGAAGGTGGCCCTGCCAGGTCACAGCAGGCAGCAAGCTTCTGCAGCAGGCTTAGAAGCCACTGAAAATATGGTTTCGTAGTGAAAGTGCTGACAGATGCTGAACAACCACAGAAACAGATGATTCCAAACCATGACTCCTGGTTAGACAAATAACTTTGAAGAAAAAAAAATAAACATGCTATGTAGGGAGAACAAATCAGCTAAATGTGTTTAAAGCCTTGAGGCTCCAGAGGAGAAGCAGAGAGAAGTGGTTGTCTAAACTGGGGAGCCTGAAGGCTTTAAGAAAACACCTTGAGGGAACTTCATTTTCCAACTAGGTAATTTCCCTCTCTAGCCTACATATTCCATCCAAATGTTATTACATCATAGATTCCTTCCAATATTTAAAATAACCAAGTTTCATAGAGATCCCCTACGTATTCCTTAAATCATTCTTTTATTTAATCCCTTTTTGGCTAACAACATTGAAGATGTCAAATAGAGCACTCTTACATATGATATTTCTTTTAATCTTTCAACAAACATGTGCAATAACATCAATAATAGCAATAATAATATCACTTATCATGTGCTATGTGCTGGACATCATCAGTGTTATTCTCTCAACAACCCTATGATATGGGTACCACTGTTAAATCCATTTTACAGATGAGAAAACTAGACCATAAGGAGGTATGCTACTTGTCAAGGTTACAAAGCTGTAGGCAACATGATAAGAATCAAGCCTCTCTAGAATGGCTCCAGAGCCTGTACTCTTCATCTCATCAATAGCTGGGATGGACTATGTGTACGTGTGCCTCTGGGTCTTTGCAGAAAGATGTGAACATGAACAGGAGATGACTACATACCTGACTTCAATTCCTGGCATATTCAAGTCCCCTCCAAAGCCATGTGACTAATCACTACGGTGATAAAACCAGGGGAGCAACACAAATATCCAAGTGCCTGGCTCACTGTCTTCTACCTAAGAACATGTGGCCCTACCAGTAGGCAAGGGAGGTGACCATCTTTAGCCTGAAGCATGCGGGCAGTTGGGGGGGGGGGCGGTTAGGCCATCAGGAGTAAGAACTCCCTTTAGCATAGAGCAAAGACTTTTACTGTGTCTGCCTCACCATGTACGTGGGGGGAGGGTGTCCCATGATTTCAAAATGCAAGGGAGTTGTCCTCATTTTCAATTAGCCTTGATTTTCCAGCTCTATTCCAGACACTGCAGAGACTGCCTAAATGCATAGCCTTAAGTAGAACACTTACCACAGGAATTTCCAGAGGTTTGCATTTATCCCACAGGAGTCAAATGGGTCCTCATACCAGCTTTGGTAGACGGGAATCACAGGCAAATTACATAATGTCTCTAAACCTTAATTTCCTCATTTGCAAAATCAGCATGATATATCTTATAGAGTTGTTGTAAAGATTAAATAAGTTAATATATGTAAATACCTAGTATCATATAATGTCTGGAATGCAGTACATGCCCAAGGTGTGTTAGATTTCTAACCCCCCATTCCTTGCTACACACACACACACACACACACACACACACACATACACTCACACACATTTCTCAGACTCATGTTCTCATGACTTTGAACAGAGTTCCAGATTTATAAACTGAAAGTGGATTAAATGCTCAAGGTTCAGGAGTCAGGAGCTCTCCCCCTCCCGGTCACCCATGGTGCTATTCCCATGCACAGCCCCACATCAGCATTGTTCGAAGAGGGGAGGGGTTATAGGGTATTCTTAGAAAAAATTTCCCAAGCAGGAAATATCATCATTAGCAGCAGTGACCCTGAGATCCTTCTCAGCCTACTTCATGACCAAAGGTACTTTTAAGTCTTGCTTTGTTCCCCCAAAATGTTTTATTCATGGTTTTCCCATCACATCGGCTACAGCACTGTAGTTCAGTCCTAAGCACCACTATCCACCCAGTAAATCTGCAAGGAGACACATCTTTCTGTATCTGTCTTTTCAACTTCCTTTGAAAACAAAGGACCTAAGTTGTGTGGGGGTTTTCACCCTCTTGGTGAAGTTAGTATTATTTGGGCTACTTTACCATGATGTCCTAACAAGACACACGAATAAAATAAACATTTGGGACACTCAATTTTTAGAGTTCAAATAAATCTCTAGACCTCTTTTGGAAAACAAATAAACCAGTCTGGTATATAAAATTCAATGATGAATTATTTAAACTGAAAATTCTCCTTCATATTAACATAAAAACAATTCATTATAAGAATTTTAATTTTAGCCTAGCTGATGTGACTCAGTGGTTGAGCATCAACTATGCACTAAGACGTCGCTGGTTCGATTCCCAGTCAGGGCACATGCCCAGGTTGTGAGCCAAATCCCCAGTGGGGAGTATGCAGGAGGCAGCCAATCAATGTTCCCTCTCATCGATGTTTCTATATCTCTCTCCCTCTCCCTTCCTCTCTCTCTAAAAATCAATAAAGAAAAAAAAATTGTTTTTAAAGAATTTTAATTTTAAAATGCTATACTTTTGTTGGAGTGTCCTTTGGCCATTAACAGTGAGTGCTACATCTCTTTGTCTCAATTAGTCACTTTTCCTTTGTTCTCAAAAATTAGATTTATAATATAAAAAGAGCAAGAGAAGGTTATCTTTTTATCACTAAACAAACACCTCTCCAACAACAAAGTTCATTGGCAAAACAAGTTTTCACCAATTTCTATTGAAACCAAAAAAGAAAAAAGAATAGTGAACCAAAGTTTTTATTTTTTATTTTATTTTATTTAGTCGCTTTTCCTTTGTTTATTTTATTTCCTCCCTTACCTGCTGCTAATGAGCCTCACCACTGACAAATGCCCAGCAGGGTGAACACAGTTCTTCTAGAGAAATCTGTTCTTAAATAAAGAATTGCCTGCATTATAAAATTATTACTTTGTTACTATCACGCTGAGATGTTCAATGTCATTACTGCAATGGATTTTTACAGGTTGGTCACAAGAAATAAAAAAGCAACCCTTAACTCCAGGTGAGAACAATCTTTCTTTCATTTTGTAAGGAAGACATTTTTACAACATGTTGACTAGCTGCAATGATAGGATAAAGCAAATTTCTGAAATATGATTTCTGGCTAAAAGAATGTTGACTATCATGTCTATAAAATAATCCCTGCCCCAGGACCTCGCACCGCCCTGCGAACCAGTAGACACAAAGTTGCAGGCAGCACGCTTGCCTACTTCCAGGCAGACCCTGTGTCCTCTCAGGTACAGCCAGGACTTTCTGAGGGACGCCGCGGGCTGCTCTCCCTTCACACGCCGTCTCTGTTCCTCAGGCACAGGGCACCGGCTGCTGCCTCACGCCATCGCATTCTGGCCCTGCTCCTGGACATCAGCACGGCCACTCTCTGCCCTTGGATCCCAGCTCCGTGTTTTCTCCTCAGCAAGGCCTTGCCTGAACTCCTAAATGATTTCACTCCCTAGCATACCATGCATGTGTTTTCTTTATAGGAACAAGAACGATCTGACAACAGTATGCTCACTTACAGTCAGTTCTCATTATTCATGAAACTTTGTGTATGCATTTCCGTGAACACTGAATCAGGGACCATGAAACCTGTGCTCCTGGGGGAAATGCAGAGTCAGGTTCCTGAGAGGCTCTGGTCACATTTTCATCAACCTACCAATACATAATCATGTTTCATGTGTGTTTGTACTTAAAGATACCTTTTCAGTACACATTGTTGATTCCTTAACATTGACTCCAAGGCCGACAGCCATCACTCGTGCCTGCATGAAGCATATCTAGCACATGTTTTCTCCGAAAGGCACATGACAGCCTTCCTGCACGAGGACACCACACAGCACTACACTAGGCATTCTAAATAGCAAACAATATACAAATGCGAAGACATAGCACTAAACAGACCACAAAAAGGATGCTCATTTACAGCTGAGACAGTGTCACTTAGTCAATCTCAGCTGGGAACATGCATGTTATGAGCCTCAAATCTTTCATTGCTTTGTGCATGTCTGGAAACGACCATGAAATGGGGGTTACACATATATTTAGCCAGTAGGTAAATTCATAAATACAGAATACATAAGTAACAAGGACTGACTATATTTGCTTCTTTTGCAGCTACCCTTTTCTTTTGAGTTCCATGACAACGGGATTCTGTCAGGTCTTTTTTCACCGTTGCATCCCCAACACCAAAATGGTGCAAGGCAGATGGTCAATAGCAGATAAATGAATATTCATGGAATGACCAAGTGAGCTAATGCTATTTCCCTCTGCCAAGAAGAATCTACCTCTCACTCCCTAGCACATCATCCTTGTCCTCCTCCAGAGCACATCTCAGAAGAATCTGCACCAACCTCCCAGGCACAGTTTTGATCTCCTTTTAGGCTTCCTGAGTGTATCTCTATTATAACATGTATTAAATTCTATTTTAGCCCTGGCCGGTTTGGCTCAGCGGTTAGAGCGTCGGCCTGCGGTCCAGAAAGACCTGGGTTCCATCCCCGCTAAGAGAATGTACCTTGGTTGCAGTGTGTCCCCGGCCCTGGTTGGTCGTGTGGGTGGCAGCCACTCGATGTGTCCCTTTCACGTCAATGTTTCTCTCTCTCTCTCTCTCTTCCTTTTTCTCCCGCCCACTCTATCTGAACAAAAAATGGAAAAATGTCCTCGGGTGAGGAAATAAATGAATAATAAATAAATACACACATACATACATACATACTCATAGTTTATAAATGCTCTTCCCTTGACCTTTCCAAACAGGATATTCATCTAAGGGATGCAGATACTATAAGCTGTCTTTTTAAAAGACATTATATTTTATTTTGGTTTTTTGTTTTTTTTTTCAGTGTCCTTGCCTGGGAATTAACTGTGACCCTTTGGTCCATGAGCCAACTTTCTTAACTGCTGAGCCAAACTGGCCAGGGCTGGAAAAAAACAAAAAAATAAAAATACATTTTGTTCTATCCCTTGTTTAAAGAAAAATCTTTGCCCAGCCAGTGTGGCTCAGTGGTTGAGCATTGACCCATGCACCAGGAGGTCACCGGTTCAATTCCCAGTCAGGGCACATGCCCAGGTTGTGGGCCCAATCCCCAGTGGGGGGCATGCAGTAGGTAGCCAATCGATATTCTCTCTCATCGATGTTTCTATCTCTCTCTCCTTTCCTCTCTCTCTAAATTCAATAAAGGAAAAAAAATTTTTAAATAAAGAAATAAAAATCTTTTGTGCTTTTGTCACAAAAGCGGTATTTCCTTGGGATTTACTATCATGGCTATCTCTAGAGTTGTGACTTATAGTAATCATTTCACTGTGTGTGTGTGTGTGTGTGTGTGTGTGTGTGTGTCCGTTTGTACACCTTAAGTACAATTTTTGTTTTAAAATAATATACATTTTAATAAAATAAAATGAAAAGGAAAGCTCCACATGCGCTGAAAGGTAGCTGTTGCTGAGATGTTCACTAAGTAAAACATAACAACAAAAGCCTCCAGAAAACATTAATCCAACAATGGAAAGCAGTTTAGGAATTTTAGACTTATCAAAGAGAGCTTCAGCGACTTTGTCAAAGTAGAATAACATGTGTGCCTCAAAGAAGTGTGATTATATTCATAGGCTGAAATATAAATCTAGCAATTTACCATTAGCTACTGGGTTAAGCTAAATGGCCCTGAATTAACTCTGGATTTCACAGCCTGGCTTCAGTCTGCAAGCTGGTTGGAGCCACGACATCCAGTGAGCCCTGGACAGTCCTGCCTAGAAAGCCTTCTTTCCACCACTTGCCAGTTCGCACCATCTCCATCCTTCCGAGCCCAGTCCAGGCCCTACTGCCCTGGCCATTTCATACCACTGTTATCTCACTCTCTTTTTCCACCAATTGACTTACTTCTTGTCCCATCAGCTAACATTTTATGAGTATCCATATATATCTTATCTGCTTTATTAGATAGGTGAGAGTTATCTAGAATGATCACCTCCCCAGTACCACTCAAGAAAGTGCCTAGTGGTCAATAAATACTCATTAAACACGGGTCTGAATGTGAAGCTAGTTGATAAAACAGTCAAATCCTTATTACATGATAACAAAATAATAAGAACTTGTGTTTATAATGTCATTCAATCCAATAACACCAACCATCCCTAAATGCACAAGAGAACTTACTGTTGTTTTCTGCATAAATCCTTATGACAGGCATCAACTCAAAGAGCACTTTTGGTTTGGACTCGATGAGTTTCATGTTCCTCTTGTCCCAGCCAGCACCTTCAAGATATAAGCCGTAGACGTAGACGCCTTCTGTGGGAGGGGCAGAAATGTCATCCTTCATCCACTTGGTGACTTCATTGCAAAGCACCATATTGTCCAGAGCCCAGCCTTTGTTGGCCCGAGTTATCTCCTACTCCCGGCAAGAACAAAAGCAAAGGATGAAATTAGCAATTAGAGGTTTGTATATACAGAGTATAAATGACAGTATAGTCCCCAATTACCCTAATTCAAAGTAAGTAGAACAGTATTTAAAGTTAAAAAGATTCTCTCAGAACCAATACCCATGTCCCAAGTTAACCACGTGTGTGTGTGTGTGTGTAATTAACAAATAAAGATTCTGAAATTCAAGCTAGCAGCTTGAGAATAAGTTGCTGGATTTATGTTCAGGACAATGTAAGAGCTTGCACCCAGAAGAGAGAGTCATTCTCTGTCTGTTATATTCTTTAAAACTATCATGAAAGAAGAGTACTTTATAGAGGAAAATTATAAGAACACAACAGAAGCATGGCAGAGCTATGTATTACCTGTTTCATTGCAGTCAAAAATCCTTGGGGGTTAAAGAAGCCTGTCATCCAGAAGCAGTGGGGTCGGCCATTGAAAACCCAAGCAGTAAACTGGCCGTTTCTTTCTATCAGTTCAGTAAACCAGAAACCCAATGTACTTGAAACCCATGACGCCTGAAATGCACACATTAAGACAATTAATATAGGTTTAATTTTGCTGTCTAACTGGCTATCATCACAGAAAAAAATTATGAAATACCAATTTCACATTTAGAATTTAAAAGTCACTAAGAGCCCTGGCCGGTTTGGCTCAGCGGTTAGAGCGTCGGACTGCGGTCCTGAGAGACCCGGGTTCGGTTCCCACTAAGGGCACGTGCTTCGGTTGCAGTTTGTCCCCGGCCCTGGTTGGGTCGTGTGGGTGGCGACCACTCGACGTGTCCCTTTCACGTCGATGTTTCTCTCTCTCTCTCCCTCCCACACTCTATCTGAACAAAAAATAGAAAAGATGTCCTTGGGTGAGGATAAAAAAAAAAAAAAGTCACTAAGACACGAATCCCCCTGGGGTACTGAAATTAAAGTTTTGGAATTATTTTTCTTCTGTAAGCTATTGTGATAGGACCAGCTCATTGTCATGGGAATACCAGGTGGACTGAGAGCGCAGATGTTCTCCAAGGTGTCCGCTGCCAACAGACTCACCTTCCATTTGCAAACATATTCGTCACCAGTTCTGCTATAAAGCATTAAAACAGTTATATTACACTTAACAGGTTTCAACTATTTTCCTTAGGTTACATTTTCAACAGATACATAACAAAACAGGATCTCTATTTACATAAATGTGCTCATGGTCTAATCAATGCTATCAAACATATTCTGTGGGTAATAACACATAAAAGCCTTTATCCATCTATCATTTTTACAGAGGCAAACAACAATTATTCTCTGACCCCTAAGAATGTACTTTGATTTCCTCTGATGAAGGAGGAGAAATAGAAACAAAGGCTCCTTTACCACTAACAAATTAATTGCATTTATTGCCTGTAACATTCAGCCTAAATTTACATGTAGAGCATCTTATACTTGGCATGGATATGTCATTAATGCTATCAGCAGCCATACTGGTGGGTGTCTCCAAATCAAATCACATTTTCATAAAAGTTTACTGTAATTGCAATATTTTATGTATGAATAAATGTAATGATCAACCTGGATAGATATACCACTTGAATTTCAAATATCTTAAGAAACAATTTTCCTATTTTCAAAAGAAACTGAGATTCCAAAGATTGATAGTATACTGAGTAGAATAGAAACCTGTATAAAAACATCATAATTTAAAAATTAGGTAACTCATTCTATTCAATAGTTATAGATGTATTAACTAAAAGAGATGTGTTTCTACTACATCTGATCTGAGGACACAGGGCACCATTAGGAGAGGGTGCCTCCTGGCAAGGATCCCGTTCCAGAGCCTCCCGGGCACTGCTCAAGCTGGGTTTGCTGGATTAGTGGGTAACAAAACAGTAACCAGTGACTAAGTAGGTTCTCCTTCTGTCATTGACAGTGAAGAGAGGCAATTCAGATGAAAGAAAAAAATTTTAAAAAACTCTCTGAATTTACTGAAGGTGAAAAGGAGAGGAAGGGGTCTGGTAAAAGCTAATTCTGAGTTTCTGAATTGTGTGACTAGAGTGATGAATAATACTGTCATCAAATATGATGGAGAAGTCAGTAGGAAGGGCACTCCATAGGTACTGTTTGCTGCCTATGGGACCCACTGCCTTGGAATCTGCCAAAGCCCTGGGTGAGATATTGGAGTCTCAGCACTAACTAAGTCTCCTCTGAAAGACTATCAGTTCTAATCCTGTCAAGTATCACCTTCCCATTTACCTGAATAACCTCCCAAAGTTCAAGTCCTCAGTTACCCCATGACCCAATCTCATCTCTGGATGCTGCCCTTTCTGTACATCCCCCAATTTAACCCAAAGCCCAGTCCTCTTCCCCTCCCAATTCTTTCCACTGCACTTTCAGCACCCTCAGGGCCATGATCAGCAAATTCCTCCAGATCTTTCACCTCTTCCCAGAACATTCCCCTACCTCCTCTGTAATCTTCTCCCCCCATCCTCACCCACAAAAGATTGCTTCCTTTGTAGCCTTCTCAGAATGTAAGATACTGTTTTCTTCACAGCCATCAGGACCAGAGGAAGTAGATATACTTGTTTCTGACAGATTCTCATTTCGCATTATTCTCTTCCTTTGAATCTCATGCCATCTGGACATATCGGTCTCACCCCTTCTTGTTTCTGTTGCCTACTAGTCACTCCCTTTTATTTATCAAGGAATTTGGCTCCTGGTTTACTCTTCCACTCCATCCCCAAAATAATCATGAGAATGAGGATGGGATGATGGTGATAATATAAATAGTGGAGGTGGTAGAGGTGGTTGTGATGGAAGTGGTAATGCAGGAGGCAGTGACAATGATGACAGTTATGGAGGTGGTGGTGACAGTGGTAGAGGTAGTGGAGGGATGATGATGATGAAGGTGGTAATGATGGAAGCAGTGGTTGTGGTGAAGGTAGAGGTGGTGGTGGTGGTGGTGGAGATGGGGATGCTGGTGATGGAGGTGGTAGTAATAGAAATGGTGGTAGAGGTGATGGAGGTGAAGGTGGTAGAGGTGGTGGTGGTGGAGATGGTGATGGTGGTGTTGATGGTGATACTAATACAAATGGTGATGGAGGTGGGAGTGGTGGTAATGGGCGTGGTGGTAGTAGGGGTGATGGTGATAGAGATGGTAGTGATGGAAGGAGTGGTCGTGAAGAAGGTGGAAGTGATGGAAATGGTGGTGGTGATAATAATGGTGGTGGTAACAGAGGTAGTACGTGGTTTTAAGAAGAATAATAGCAAGTATATACATAACGCTGGCCATATGCCAGATATTCTTCTAAGCACTTTACATTCATCAACTTATTTAAGTCTCACAAGACCTGTAATAGAAGTAAGAATAATAATAATTCCCTTTTCAGATGAGGACTTAGGCACAGCAAGACAAGTAGCTCATCTGAGGTTGCACAGCTTTGATGTGCCAAAAACATGATTTGAACTCAGGTACTCTGGCTCCAGAGTTCAGCTCATAACCCATTTACTGCATTTATTTACATTCATTAATCATTTTTGGTGACACCAGGATCCATGTGAATGACCCATTTAATACCCTACCCTCTTTTTTTTTTTAATCCTCACCCGAGGACATTTTTGCATTTATCTCCAGAGAGAGCAGGAGGGAGAGAGGGAGAAAGAGAGAGAGAGAAACATCAATGTGAGAGAGACACATCGACTGGTTGCCACCCTGGGGCCAGGGATGAACTGCAACCGTACCTACCCTTACGGGAACTGAACCTGGGACTCTCTGGTCTGTGGGCTGATGCTCTAACAGCTGAGCCAAACCGGCCAGGGCAATACCCTACCTTCTTAATCTCATGATTTCTGATTTCTAACAATCCATTTAAATCACTCAATCCCACAGTCTCATTTTAAATCCTGTCCTCATCAAACACTGCCCTCTTGGGTTAGGCACATCATCTCCACAACTTTGTTTCCTTTCAAGGAGAGAGAGCTCCATTTACATAACACTCCAGGCTCCTTCGTCCCCTCACTCCCCTACTCCAAGGAGGTATAGAATGAATGTGACTTGGGGGAAGGTGGGGTGTTATAGAGATAGTCTGTGCTCATCAAACATCCTGTGTGGCCCCCTACACTTCCCAGTCTCCCATGCAGTTACGTTGGGTCTATGAATCTACTCTGATCCATGAAAATTAGTCCCAGTGTACCCTGTCCACTCTTCCCTCCTTCCGACTGTGATGACTTCAGAGGCCGTATGGTGGTGCAGCCACTACCAGATGGTGAGGCCTCCATCAGATGGACCCATTGTAACTATGTGGAGCTTAGGACCCACCGACTTGTGGAGGAGAAATAGAAGCAACAGAAGCTCTTAAGATGTGTATCAATAAATCAGCCCAGAGACAGCAGGTAGTTAGGAAAGTCCTATCAGCAGCAGGAGCACATAGATATACATGTTGAGAAACATAGCCCCTTTCTCTTTTCTTTGGGGGCTGAGATGCCTGCAGGGAGCTCACACTCTGGTCTGCTCTGCATGCCCTAGTTTCATAAGAAGTCATTGCCAGGGAGCCCTGTGGACACTTCACTTTTGGACTTCCCAATTCTAGAACTGTGCGACAATAAATTGCCATTGTTTAAACCACCCAGTCTGTGGTAGTTCTTTATGCAGCCCCAGAAAACTAACGCGTTTTTCCATTGTACTTGCCTAATGAAGCCTGGCATGGCATGACCTCAATAATCTGCCTTCCCAGGCCTGTTCCCAGCCAACTGAGTGCAGCTGGGGGAAACTGTACAACTGCATAGACCTGGTGCACTTGGTGTTCATGACTTCAGACTGCAAGTGGGTAAAGCCTTTCACATTTCGCCACCTGCCCTCTATCCCAGTTTCCTCTTTCTAATGAGCCTTCAGGGAGGGTAGAGCATATGTATTTCTAAAGGGAGGTAGAAATGAACATCTTGGGAACAGAGACTTTCAGGGAGAGCTATGAGTCAAGTATTGATGAGTTCCTATTGTGGGTTTAGAGTCACCCCAGGTGATGGCATGGTCAGGGGGAACAGAAGCAAATGGCAGATCCAATTTCTCAGGAAATATGGGTAGAAATACAGCAACATTTGTACCCTTTCCCAGGTCTTTCCCTCACCATAATTAATCTTAGCAATTTCACTTACATCTCCCAATAAAATGTACTTACATAACACACACACACACACACACACACACACACACACAGTCTTCAATACAGAACAAAGAAACTATGTCATTTAGGCTCCCTCAAATACATGTTTTCTTGATTAAAAAGACACTCGGGTCTTCATTTTATTTTTCTAAGTAGAAAATGATTTCTTTTTTTTTTATTTCTCTTCCTTACCCAAGGATGTTTTTCCATTGATTTTAGATAGAGTGGAAAGGAGGGAGGGAGAGAGGGAGGGAGGGAGGGGGAGAGAGAGAGAGAGAGAGAGAAAAACATCAATATGACAGAGACACATTAATTGGTTGCCTCCTGCATGACCCCGACCAGGGTTGGGGATCAAGCCACAACCAAAGTATGTGCCCTTGCAGGAATCGAACCCATGACTCTTTGGTCTGAGGGCCAATGCTCTAACCCCTGGGCCAAATTGGTCAGGGTGAAAATTATTCCTTAAAACCACATCTGTCATTTAACACAATTACCAACAGATAATCAGTAAGCACACTTGTCTTGAGATATATATACTCACATATCTACAAACAAAGGAAAAATGTTTCTCTTTGGTGTGACTTTTGATATGTGTGTGCATCTCAGAACATTCTCTTCTACAAAACTAGTTTCAAGGGCTTTGAAGCCCAAGAGCTTGGGTTTAAATTCTGATTCTTGGACAACTTAGGTGTGTGATTTGAGAAAAGATTTAACTTCCCCCAACCTCAACTCCCTCATTTGTAAATTGAGGGCAATATAGTGTAAGACTTAAATGAAATAATGCATGTAAATTGCCCAGTAGAGCACCTGATATACAGAAGATGCTAAATAATTTCCTTCCCTACCTACAATCTAAAAATACAGGACTATAGGGGGTTAGTCCCTAACTAAATTATTCTTAGATGTTTTCCACTTGTCAATTATAATTATTGACAACAATAAAGGGATTAGGCATAAGAGCAGACTTAAACATACTTTTTTCCACTGAGCAGGAATTCTTGCATCAAACATGCAATTCAACGCATCTTGGAGATTTTCACTCATGATGATGGTGCCATCGATGGCAAGCTTTAGCTCAGTCAGGGTGCTGCGGACCAGCGTGAGTACCCTTTGCATTCTGTCTATCTCCTGCCTCAGGAAAATGTTCATCGGCTGGAATGGCCCCATCTTTTGCAGCCTCTCTCTTACCTGCCATGAAAACATTCAGCACACGTTAAAAATGGGAAAGCTATCAATGTTTATGCAACAGGGGCTTCTAAAATGGCCCGAAAATTTACAATTCTATAAATAGCAAGCATTTTTTTTTCATTGCCAGAAAACAGAAAAAAATAAGAAATAAAACATCTGTTAGATGACCAGCTGATTTTTCATCCCATGTGGGAAAGAACAGACAGCCTTTAATTCACAGAAAAATATAAAATGCATGACCACAACCACGCAGCCTTCTAAAGAACAGCCGCCCTTGTTGGGAAATATTCACTTACTACCAATCTAAGACTTTCTTTTTTTAAATAAATTTTATTAATTTATTTATTTAATTTTTTTACAGATGATAAAACATACACATGGGTACACACAAACAGACAAGCACACGTACATGACCATTTTGCTGGTTCCCTCAAAAAATTATAAGTGCATTTCCAAAGCTTTCTGTTTTCCATCAAATCATCTATCCATCCATCCACCCATCTACCTGCTCATTTCCATCTTACAAGTATTTATTGAGAATCTTCTATGGATTGGTTGTGCAAGGCTGAGTTGCTTTATCCCAGAGTAGCACTGACAAATTCAGCAAAAGGAGGGAGACTCTCCTAAATTCCATTACTTACCATACTTATTTATTATATTTTTAGATATTTTTAGTGCTTCAAAAATATTTCAACTACTGCTAGACATGAATGATCTGTTTCCTGATACTATAATGAAAGGTATTTATGAAAGCTGAGTGCAGTATTGATTTTCTCCAAGCAAGCTATCAGACTTTCTTCCCAGGGAAATTATTCCCTTGGTGATAGACCCTTGCGTTCAGTCTATACATAGTACTAGCAGCCAAAATGGCCTGCTTCGTGGAAAATAATAAGATGCTAAAGAAACAAAATCTTGCAGGTTTTCTTTTGAAAATAGGTGGAAAGGGTACAATATATAAAGACATATGATAGCCCCGTGACAAAACTATCACACGTTTAGTCCAGGTCATCTCTCAAGACAATATGGAAGGTAACCCAGTTACTTTTGCTTTTATCAAAAGTTTAAAAATGTTACCAGGGTCAATCTTTGCACAATTTGTTAAAATGTCTAAAAAATTAACTTTAATAATCATAAAATTGCTTAGAAATTAGTTATATATTAAAAAGATATATCAATATTTTTAACCAGTGAGATGAAGCTACAAAGATTTAATGATAAAAATACAGACTCCCTGAAATTAAGAATGCTTGAATTTGTTTTTCTTTAGAGACAGAGGAAGGGAGAGAGAGAAACATCAATGAAAGAAAAGCATCGATCAGCTGCCTGCTGCACACCCACTACGGGGATCAAGCCCACAACCTGGGCATGTGCCCTGACTGGGAATTGAACCATAGACCTCTAAGTTCATTGCTCAAGGCTCGACCACTGGGCCACACCAGCCAGGCAAGAATGCTTGGATTTTAAGGTGTATATTAAATTACACACATTTTTTAAAAATAATCAGGTGCTAATCTCTAAGAATACATTACTTTCCTTCAAACAAATAACAATGTGAAGTACCTCAAGAGGAAGTTCTAGAAGAGAAACCCTAACACATCAGTAAACACTTGTAATTTAATTATGAATGTAAAAATTCACATCAGTTTTTTATTATTTCTATTTTGAAAAAAATCACATTTATAAATTTAAAATTTTTTCTGGTATTTCAGAAAGTGAGTTTTTTAAATACACTTTTTTGTAATTTTAGAAAAATTGTGTGCCCTCTTTCCTCATTCCCCCCAAAACAGACACATCCACAGCTGACATTTTGACAGGATTCCAACTCACTTCAAAAGGGCCATAGTCAGGAGGCAGCTTTTCCAGCATGTCATCGGCGAGCCGAGCCACCACGGCTTCCCTGGTCTCTTCCCCTCCACCAGAGCTGTCCTTGGGCTGGATGCCCAGGATGGTGTCCAGCACGTCCTTGGCAAGCTTGCTCTGGTAGGTGATGTCGGCATTGGGGTGCAGCCCGAAGACCTCGGGGCTATCATAGGTGGGCAAACTCTGAACAACAAGGACCTCGGTAAGCACAGACCGCTGACATAAATTCCAGTTAAATTATACTCTCTTGGGAAAGAAACATGTTTGTATTAAGCTAAGCAATTATAAGAAATGTCTTAGTTGTGGCAGGCCACCATCTCAGTAATTTCTCCCAAAATAAATCAAAAGTTGCCTTGGAAAAAATTAACATTGAGAAACAATCGGCTCATGGTACTTTAATGTTGCACCTCTAGCAAATTTAATTGAAGTGATGCTGTCTTGTTTTATAACATGTAAGACAGAAAGGGAGCTATGGATTGGTGTTTTGTTTTCTGAAGGTCTCATCTAATTCAAGCCAGTTGTTTAAATGAATGCTGGATAACTAGTGGTGACTAGGATTTTAAGATACCAGAACATGACAGTTTTAGCTATTAGGGCCTAAGTAAGGGAACTGTATTCTCCTGGGGAGAAAAAGACTAGGAAAAGGGAGAAACATTGAGAGAGCAAGAGTTAACGAGGACATGAGACAGCACGAGATGGAGAGCAAGAAACTGAAGTAGAACAAGCACGCAAAATTCTCCCCCAGCCATTTGAAAAACAAACATTTACCTGAAATTTGACATATATTTCTATGTGCCAATTGTATCCTAATCTTTATTGTTGTCTTATTCACATTTTCCCCTCCTTTCTACTCCCTTATTTTATTCCCTTTTACATAATGTCTTCTTATCAGCGACCTCAAGTTCATTGTGAAATGAGATGTATATAAATAAATATATGTACAGGCATATCTAAATTTATACCTTCATAGGCACCTTCTTATTCAGTACCAATGATTTAAAGACACACATAGTACAATTAAGACATATATTTGTTGATATGAATTACTAAAAGTATAAAGGTGATAATATATGATAAACTCATCACACTTATTTATCACAGAACCTCTAAATAAACTAATATATTTAGTCCTTTGAGGATGTTGTGCTTTAGTTTGTTCACTCTGAGATAAATCTTAGAGGCAAAAGAGATTGCTAAATAATGATCTAATAAATCCAAGGTATAGAGACAGAAAATGTAGTTACCTTGAAACACAAATCAATTTTCTTCCCCAAATATCCTGTCAAAATTTATCTTATTCTTTCTTAGAGCAGTGTTTCTCAATCAAGGGTGATTTTGGCCCCCAGGGGACATTTGGCCATGTGTGGAGACATTTTTGGTCGTCAAAACTGGGTAGGGAAAGCTACTGACATCTAGTGGGAAGAGGCCAGCATTGCTGCTAACCACTCTCCCCAGGACAACCCCCATCATCTCTTCCACTACAAAGAAGTATCTGGCCCTGAATGAGGAAGCTCTTATACAAGTGGATTCCTGCACATACTTACACACTGTCCATTAGGCCAGGATTAAGGAACAGATGTCACAAAATAAGGCAAGTGGATTGAAAAATAGAACACATTGAGTCTAGAGGCTGCCTCAGCCCTACTATCCCAGGTAACAAGTCTCACAGGTAGAGAGCTCCAGGGAATTGATGTAGGTCCCCCAGTTCTAATCTGTTCATTCTATCATCTCCCCCAAAGAACATTCTTTACTGGCGCATTGAAAGAGAATAGGGGGAGAAAATTCATACAAAACATACACACAAAACAAATATAAACATTTTAATCATATGGTAAAATATAAACATATAAAGAAAGCATCTACAGTGGAAGGTTCAATATGTATCACCATTAAAATGTATACTAAAGGGAGCATATATAGTGTAAATCAATAACCAAAAGATCAAGTGCTGAGGATATTTACTCTATGCATAAAATTCTGACATTGACAAACCTGGATATAGTGAAGATAGTTATCCACCGTGCTGCATTTTGGAATATTGTATCCTTGGTAAAAGCAGAAATCTGATCCAAACATATTTTCACTGAACCAAACCTTGGCAATTGTGTTCAACAATCTCTTATCATAGTCATCAGTGACTCTGCCTCCATATTGAATCTCGCCTATCATGTAGCGGACAGTGGACCAGGATACGCCCTAAGAAAAATTGTAGAATAATTGTGTAGAACTGACTACTGTCTCATCCTCATTTTCTCTGCCAAGTAACATCTGTGTGTTCATTTTCATCAACATCCTTCACTCATTCATTCATTCATTACTAATGTGAAAAGTACAGAAAGAAAATTAATTAGTCAAACGTAAGTGATTACTCAAATGTTACTCGTGCTCATCTTTATGACTTGAAATAGACTCTTCATTCATATTTTCATAATTTCATATTTTAATTTCAACAGAACAAAATGTTTATTTGTTGTTGTTGTTTTAGAATATTGAGGCAGTTCTCTAAGAAGCACATACCTCAAAAGGAAAAGAATCTAGAATTCATTTTCATTTTTTAAAAACCAAGTTTCCTTATCATTCGCCCCTTCTTGCTTAAAAAACGATTGTTTTATATCAACTTCACTTTGAGAAATTAAAAGATAATTAAAATTTGTTAATCTTTTTAGCTGAAATCAAAAGACAAGTGTGACTCCAGTTGCAATGACTTAAAGATAATGACTTTGCAAGCACAGAAAATCATCATTCTTGCAAGATTTACCCTAAAGCTGGGGGGGGGGGGCATGTTAGCTTGGGGACCCACAATCACTAGTGACATAAAGCAGCTCTCACACAGTACCTTTTTGATATCCATGTCATCCAAGTGGTTCTGGATGAATTGCACAGTGGCATTAAAGTCCGCTTGATTAAACTCATAAGGGATGTTCCACCCCAGGGGACCAAACTTCCGCCTCTCCTGGACCGCGGAGTGCAGGAAAGCCACTGCATACAGCATGGGCTTCCACTGGGCCACCGTGCTCACATCCAGCAGGTCTTGGCTCACACCTGTTATGGTCAGCCAGGTGAAAACCAGTATCATCTCTCAAACATCTTTATTTTCTATTACTTTTATAAGTTATTAGTTATCTTTGTAAATTTCTAATATTAAACTTCACTTATCTTGAATTATTCTTATCACATTCATATGGCAACTATAATTTAACTCTTGGGTAGCCAGAGGGCATTTCTCTCTGAAAAATCTGCGAAGAGATTTGAGGGGAGGAGGGGCTCGCTAATATGGATCAAGTTCCTGCCAATTCATCTGGAGGAAGAATAACGGCAGTAAAATAAATGCTGCTGCTACTACTACAACCACCACTACTACTTAATAATAATAAAATAATAATAAAATATACATTGTTATTATTATTTGGAACAAGTACATACACTATTTTAATTAATATTAAATTGTTACTACTGTATATAGAAGCCCATTGCAACCTGAATATATTGTCATTATAATACTTATTATACATGTATCTATATTATATATAAAATTATATTTTTTTCACTTGGTAATCTTTCCCAACTGCCATCACCCTTCCATATCCCTTTTATTCCCACATTATCTTATAAATTGGCAGGAATTTAGTCGTTAGCAATTCCAAAAAAAAACTCTTTTGTAGAATTTTCAGATTGATATCAAATCATTATTATATTCATTATTATTAAGTACACTACGTTCTAATCATCACAGATAGATTGTATTGTCTTTATTTTACATGTGAGAAAATTGAAACTCTGGTTGTTTGAATGACTAACACCCAAAAGAACAAAGCATTTTGTTCAGGGAGGACCAGAAACAGAGTGTCTGACTCGAGGGCTCAGGCTCTTTCCATGACCATGAGTCCCAGACAGGAAGGTATGAGGTAGAGGAAGCAAAGGCAAAGAGAATACTCTCAGTTCGGGTTTTGAATGGAGGGCATTTTGGCCGGGTTTTGTTGCTTTTGTTTGGTTTCTAACTTAGCTACCATACTGACATGGGCTTCATAAGTGAAGTCAGGCCAAACTTTAATTCAGCCTCTCCTCTTGGAAGAGGCTATTGTCCTACTTCTGGTATGGAGCATAAAGTCCAAACATGACAAAAATATCAAGTTTAGATAGTAGCATAAAAAGGCAGGTGTCTAGTGGAGAACAATATAGGCCAAAGTAGAACAATTCTGGGCAAAGGGAAACATACGAGGTGGGAGATTCTGAGGTGTGCCACCTGACGCTGTCAGGTCACGTTCCACAAGGGTCATCCTCTCCTCATCATATTAAATAATAGTACTATTTGCTATAACTGCACCTGAGCTAATTCCATTTTTGCAGTTTCTTTAATGAAACAATCTAAGTATAAGCACCCCAATAGATTTGGAAGTATTCCTCCACTCACCGCCGTATGTTCTTTTCAGTCCTGCCCGGAGGCCCTGCGGAGGCTCATTGGCAAATTTAATGGACATCTGAAGGAGTGTAATGGGAAACTGCTTATGAACCTCAGTGGTCATCCACAGGCGGAAGGCATCATGGACCACCTCAGTTTCTGTAACCATGTCCATCAGCTCATCCATGAAGTCGAGTCCCAGGTGGCAGTTCTGCAGAAGGGCCCATCCTCCCTGAGTCAGCAGTAGTGAATGAAAATTAGGCTATTTTTATGTTTTGCCCAAAGATTTAAATCATTACATTCTTTAAAAATTAAGTAATTAAAATTTAACAGAAAAGCACACTAGCCACTTTAAATTCATCTAGGTCAGATCTACGGATGCAATAATGTTTCATTGAGATAGTTCTATCTGTTCTTGTTCCATGCAGTGGTCCCACAAAGAGCATGTCAATTGTAATAATATATGGTAGGAGTCATGAAAATAACCAAAAGCATAAAAAGATCTAACAGCACTTGCAAGTAAAGATGGTTGATTGAAAATATCCGTTTAGCTCAGCTTCCTCCCCAAATTCCATGAAAACTTCAGTGAAGGGACTTTTCAAAGGCATGAACTCTTAAGGACAAAAACAGCAAGGATGAAGACAGTCTCAATAATATTCAAAATGAACTCAAGGAAGCTGAATCCTCCATCAACAGTCAGGGAAAGCTGAGATGTAACCTAATTTGTACCCCACAAGCTCCCCAAACAATCAAGAATAGGTGGCAAGAGGTCCTTCTGGAAGTGGAGGAAGAAGCTGGGCTAACACAGGAAGGTTGGAAGTCCAGACCCCTGACATGTTCCAACCCCACCTAAAGAAAGATGGAAAGCCCTGGCCAGCTTGGCTCAGCAGTTAGAGCATCGGCCCACGGACCGGAGAGTCCCGGGTTCGGTTCCTGCTAAGGGCACGTACCTCGGTTGCAGCTTGTCCCCGGCCCCAGTTGGGGTCGTGTGGGTGGCAACCACTCAATGTGTTTCTCTCACATCGATGTTTCTCTCTCTTCCCTCCTCTCTCCCTCCCACTCCATCTGAAGATAAATGCAAAAATGTCCTTGGGTGAGGATAAAAAAAAAAAAGATGAAAAGCCAATTTTCTTTAAGAGGCCAAACAGACAGCATTTGAACTGAAGGACATCAATGCATTAAGGGTATAGGAAACTCCCTGAAAACAGGTGAAAGAAAATCTACCCACTGGTTTTAAAACCTACCCCTCCTGTCTCCCACTGACCTCCCAGAAGAATACTGGTAGCTGGGCAGAATATAGCCTGCAGAATGTGGAAGAACCTTCTCTGGGGAATTGGACCATTCTAAGAAAAAGAGCCTGAGAAAATAAGCTATATCTCTTTCATAAATGATCCTAAAAACATACAAATATTCAGTGTATAAAGCAAGGCAGGCAAAATCGGATCCAGAAATACATCAAAAAAATTATTCACCATGACCAAGTGGGATTCATTCCAGGGATGCAAGGCTGGTACAATATTCGCAAATCAATAAACGTGATACACCACATCAACAAAATGAAGAATAAAAACCACATGATCATATCAATAGATGCTGAAAAAGTATTCGACAAAATCCAGCATCCATTTCTGATAAAAACGCTCAGCAATGTAGGAATAGAGGGATCATATCTCGACATAATAAAGGCCATATATGAAAGACCTACAGCCAACATCATACTCAATGGACAGAAACTAAAAACATTTCCATTAAGAACAGGAACAAGACAGGGATGTCCACTTTCGCCACTCTTATTTAACATTGTACTGGAAGTCTTAGCCACAGCAATCAGACAGGAAGAAAAAATTAAAGGGATCCAAATTGGAAAGGAGGAAGTGAAACTGTCATTATTTGCAGATGACATGATATTGTACATAGAAAACCCTAAAGACTCCATCAAAAATCTATTAGACTTAATAAATGAATTTGGCAAAGTAGCAGGATACAAAATTAACGTCAAGAAATCGACGGCATTCTTGTACACCAATGATGAACTCACAGAGAGAGAAACTGAAAAAACAATCCCATTTACCATCGTTCCAAAAAAATTACAATACCTAGGAATAAACTTAACCAAAGAAGTAAAGGACCTATTTGCAGAAAACTACAGGTCATTGAAAAAAGAAATAGAGGAAGATATAAAAAAATGGAAGCACATACCCTGTTCATGGATTGGAAGAATTAACATAATTAAAATGTCCATACTACCCAAAGCAATCTATAGATTCAATGCAATCCCCATCAAAATACCAACGACATATTTCATAGAACTAGAACAAATACTTCAAAAGTTCATATGGAACCAAAAAAGACCTCGAATAGCCACAGCAATCTTGAAAAAGAAGAACAAAGTAGGTGGGATCACAATACCAGATATCAGGTTATACTACAAAGCGACTGTAACCAAAACAGCCTGGTACTGGCACAAGAACAGGCATATAGACCAGTGGAACAGAACTGAAAACCCAGAAATGGACCCAAGGCAATACGCTCAATTAATATTTGACAAAGGTGGCAAGAGCATACAGTGGAGTAAAGACAGCCTCTTTAATAAATGGTGTTGGGAAAATTGGACAGCTACATGCAAAAAAATGAAACTAGACCATCAAGTTACACCATACACCAAAATAAACTCAAAATGGATAAAAGACTTAAATGTGACCCGTGAATCCATAAAAATTCTAGAAGAAAATGTAGGCAACAAAATTTCGGACATCATACGGAGCAGAATTTTCACTGATACATCACCTAAGGCAACAGAAATAAAGGAGAAAATGAACACATGGGACTACATCAAACTAAAAAGCTTCTGCACAGCAAAAGAAACAATCATCAAAATGGAAAGGCAACCCACTGTATGGGAGAACATCATTGCCAATGATGTATCAGATAAGGGGTTAATTTCCAATATATATATAGAGTGCTCATACAACTCCACAAAAGGAAGACAAAGAACCCAATTAAAAAATGGGCAGAGGAGCTGAATAGACACCTCTCCAAACAGGACATACAAATGGCCAAGAGACATATGAAGAAATGCTCAACATCACTAATCATCAGAGAGATGCAAATTAAAACAACCATGAGGTATCACCTCACACCTGTCAGAATGGCCGCCATCAACAAATCATCAAACAACAAGTGTTGGCGAGGGTGTGGAGGAAAGGGGACTCTAATACACTGCTGGTGGGAATGCAGACTGGTGCAGCCGCTATGGAAAACAATATGGTGCTACCTCAAAAAATTAAAAATTGAACTTCCATTTGACCCAGTGATCCCACTGTTGGGAATATACCCTAAGAAGCCTGAAACACCAATCAGGAAGAATATATGTACCCCCATGTTCATAGCAGCACTATTTACAATAGCTAAGATCTGGAAACTGCCCAAGTGTCCACCAGTAGACGAATGGATAAAAAAGCGGTGGTACATATACACAATGGAGTACTATGCAGCGGTAAGAAAGAAAGATCTCTTATCCTTTGAGACGACATGGAGGGACCTGGAAAGTATTATCCTAAGTGAAAGAAGCCAAGCAGAAAAAGACAAATACCACATGATCTCACTTATATACGGAATATAATGAACATAACAGTCTGAGGAATACAGTAGACCCAGACACATGGAAGTAGGGCACAGACTGACATCCCTCAGAAGAGGGGATGGGGGGTGGGGGGGTGGGAAGAGATAAACCACAGAACTTATATGCATGTTTGCATGACCAATGGACATGGACAACTAAGCCGGGAACAGGGTGGAGGGGGGGTGGGGTGGGGGGTGCCAATGGGGTAAAAAGGTAAAATATCTGTAACAAAAAAATAAATAAAAATTCATAAAATGCAAAAAATAAAAAAATAAAGCAAGGCAGGCAAAAATTTAGGTCATGCTATAATAATTGACTCTGTATGATATTTTTATTAATATTACCTATAATATCTAGATCATAATCCTGAGTTATTTTCTTGATTTCATAATTTTGGATTTAGTTTTGACTACGCAGCCTGGATTATTTCTCTTTACAAGACACAAACCAAGCCCTAAATCTAAAATCTTAGTAGCTATATATTAAATTGATCATTTTGAAATCTGACCTATTCCCTTATATTTTCCTCTGAAGTATATAGCATGTATTGAATAAACTTTTTCGTCGTTTGAAAATTTAATTGACACTGTCTACTGACTCAAAACAAAAAAAAGTAAATATAAAGTTTCTTCAGTGAGGAGTTTGATGCTTCAATGTTCACCCACAGAACCCCATAGCCAAGGTTGTACCTTGTGCTGCTGCATTCTGCATTCAATGTTCTGAGTTCTTCCTACGGATCACTCGTTTTCCTACTGTGGTTCATTCTGACATATTGCCCCAAACCTTTCTCACAAGACTTTTACAAAGCTATTGTCTCTGATAAGTTATAAGCATGCTAAGATAAAAGACTTTTTTTTTTTTTTACTTTAAACTGCTAAATAAAACATAGATACACTAAAGGCTAAAAATATTTCATTTAAATTCTAATTTAGTTGCCTGAAACCATATTATTATTACACAATTAAATATTTTAAATTCAAGAAGTGCCCTGTTAATGTTAGTGTTTTGTTCTAGGTACAGTAATATGCAGAGGGAGGAATAGAGAATGTAGAAAGGTGGGAGGGAAGAGCAGAAAGAGGCCAGGATGGAGGCTCACCAAGCCCGATGCAGACAAGACATGGGATTCTTAAATTCAGATGAATGTTTTCATCTCCAGAAACACTTCTGTCAGACCTCTTTGGCCTTCCCCCTCACAACTGCAAACTAAAGTCATCTCACTAAGCACAAATCATGTGAAGCCCCTCCCCCACCCCATTTCACCGAAGCTGGGAGCCTGGCACAGGTTGGGGATGGTAAAACCTCCAGGTAATTATAAAGGTTCCAAAGCCCAGTGAGCTCAGTTCCAGACGAGGGAAAGGGACTCGATGCAGCACAGTGGAAGATTCTAGATGAAGCAGCCGGGAAACAGAGCCCAGTGATTCCCAGAGGTTGGGATTAGAAGGTAAGAATGCCAGTCCTGCCTCAGCAGGGGGAGTCTCTGGAGGGCACAGAAGGAGTTGAGATATGGGGGAAAGTCAGACTCAGGGAAAGGGGAGTAGGGTCTGGTCCAAAAAAAGGCCAGAAAGGAATCTAAACTAAGACTGCATATTCTCCAGGAGGAACTAGAAATCAAGTGATTCTGTGCCCCAACCTTGCTTAGCCAGCGTGTGGAGGAAGAGGAGACCCTCCCGGCTGAGCTGGACACCCCAGGAAGGGCTAGACCAGGGTAAACACAGGAGCACTTTGTCCCAGAGCCGAGTTCTAGAAATGAAATAGAGGACCTTCAGCATCCTATTAACTTAAGTCCTTGAAAGTGCCCCAACTCTAGACTTAACTGTCCCATTAGCAGGGTCACATGTGGTTTCCAGCACTTGTTGGCTGCCAGGCCAGGCCTGTGCACAGCATAGAACTGGCAATCCACAAAGGGCTTGAGGAGCCCCGCCCGGAAAGCCACAGGCCAGGTTTCCCAGAACCTCTGGCACCACCGCAGGGTAACAGCGGATTCTGGCCTCTTTGGGATTTGGGCCAGGCCTGGGAGACTCCGGGGCTCAGACTGCGTTCTGGAACTCAAGAAAGGCACCAATGTTGTAGATTCTGGAGGATTCCAAGAGTGGAGCTGAAGGGGATGGAGCAGAGGGGTGGCCGGGCTGTGGACCCCACTGAGGGTTAGGGATCTGGAGTGGAGATTAGCATGACGTAAGCTGGTTAGGAAATAAGTCAAGGCTCAGCAGAAAATGTTTAAAATTGTATCTGTTTTTCTATGAAATTTTCTAATAGATACACTTTTCCTATTTAGTAAACAGCATGCAGTATGTAGTATGTAAAGGTAAATTCCTAACAGTTATATGTTCTTTTCTATTATTGTTACTCTATAACCTGTAATATCAACAATAGAACACAAAAGTAGACATTTGGCCTCACATGTGCCATGGTCTGCTGCAGGAGCTTGCGAGCATGGACCTCCTGGCCCTGGCCCATGGATACGTAACGGGTTTCTATTTTTAATCTCTTGCCCAAGGCGATGATGGAATCCGTGGGATCTGAGCCCATAGACAGGAGACAGATGAGTGGTGTCCGTGCATCTGACTCCTCCCAAGTCTTTTCCAAGTCCAGGATGACCCCTTCAGCATAGTTTTCTCCCATGGAGTCCATGATATACTTGCGGGCCTGCCAAAAACAGTACAGAAGTCACCAGAACAAGCTCTAATTCCTCAATGTGTACAATGCAGGGTGGTTTCTAAAATTCATTTGTGTAGATTATCACAATGGTGTCCACAGTAAATTAGGCCAGAGACTTTTATAATTATATGTGTTATATTTTTTCATTTGGTTATTTTTTTATTACTGCTGTCATCCTTTCCCATCTATTTTATCCCTACAACCTTGTAAAGTAGCAGGAATTTGAGTGTTAGCAACTCAAAAAATAAAAATAAAAAACCTTATTGTATGTTTTCAGGTTGATATGTAATAATTATTAATTCACTATTATTATTATTAAATACACTATGCTGATTAAAATGTATTGCAATTGTCCTGGATAGATTTTATTGTCCCTAATTTACATATGAGAAAATTGAATCTCTGACACAGTATCATTTTTGCAGTTAGGCAATTCAATGTTCCCTGATGTGAGCATCATGCTCACCCGAAATGCTGAGAACAAGCCTGATGCTGCTTGTGGGGAATGGGGATTGAATATGTCTGCAGTATAGATCTTCTATTATGCTTCCCAAGAAGGTATCTGATTGAATATCATAAAAGGAATTTAATACAGAATAAAAACTTTAGAGGAGAGAACATTTTCCAGAGGGGCCTTCTAGACCTGGCTTAAGACTTGTGTGTTATCATAAGGGCCATGGGAAGGCATTAAGAAAAGGGCATCATCATATTTCTATTTCTTCTATAATATACAGGATGGACTAGAGTGGACAACAATGACTATCAGAGACCAGCTAGGAGGTCATGGTTGTCGTCTGCCTATGGATGTCAGAAGCCAGGATGAAGGTACAAAGGAGTATAGAAGGCTTAAATGTCAGTATTGGACCAAATAAAGTGTTACATAAAAAAAAATAATAATCATAAAAAGGAAAGAAGGAAGGAAGGAAAGACAGAGAGCGAGAGAGAGAGAAAAAGGAACTACTTGAACCTTCTACAATGCCCTTAAATAAGGCAACTGTTTGACAATTCATTGGGGCAGAATAAAAGTAATAAAGTAGAGAAGAAAAACTGAAGGAAGGAGATCTTAGTGTCCCGAGTTGCACAACTCCTTTTTCTTTCCTCAGTAAATCATCGAATTGAGTTGTTTCATTATGGTACAATACCTAAGTGGATGTGGAGATGGTTACTCCATGTGTTTTTAACACTCCCTCTGGAGAGTGAAGGGGAGCATAGCCTACATCCTATTATAAATGCTGCCTGTTGTTACGCCTTTAGGTTGACTGGGAGGAGCCCTTGAAGAATCAACCTATGCCAAATATTAGAGTAAAATTTTAACTGTGAAGACATAATACAAGTCTTTTTACTGAATAAATTTTTATGATAGGTCTTTAAAGAGATGGACTTTTTGGGAGTGAGATTCACATTCAAACCACATGTAAAATGCATACAATTTAAAGAATTTTAGGCCAACCTACTTCCTTGCCTCAAGGGTTGTGACATTTTCTGGGGATGACGACAGGTTTGGGAATGCTGTGCTTCTCTGGACTTTCTCCTCCCTAGAAACTTCACATTCTTCTACTTAAGTGAACATTGTTTTACTAATGACAAAATGGAGGAGCCATATCATTTTTGAATTAATGTAAAAATATGGTATAGAAGAATAAGACACTCGTTTTATGTTATACCTATAAGCCAACCTTAAAAACATCCCCTCTTGTTGAACCATCTGGGCCAAAGGAGATTATTAAATCACTCAGCCTGGATGAATACCTCAGTACAGTTGTTTGTTGTCTACTTTTCTGTTTTTCACATTCTATTGCTAGAAAAATGCATTGAAGACTACAAGAAATTCTCATTGGAATTAACATTTTAAATATGTCTCTAAATTTAAAAGAACAATCCGGCCGGTGTGGCTCAGTTGCTGAGCATCGACCCATGCACCAGGAGGTTTCTGGTTCAATTCCCAGTCAAGGCACATGCCCAAGTTGTAGGCCCAACCCCCAGTGGGAGGCATGCAGAAGGCAGCGGATCGATGTTCTCTCTCATTGATATTTCTCTCCCTCTCTCTCTCTTTCTCTCTCTCTCTCTCTCACTTCCTCTCTCTCTAAAATCAATAAAGGAAAAAAAAACTAAATAAAAAAATTTTAAATTTAAAAGGACAGTCTCCTTAAAACTATTTTTTTTTAATAGGGACTTTTTACCTGGGCAATTGTTCTATCAGGACACCAGGATCTAATAAGAAGAAGATGTCTAAAGCAGTCAAGAGATTTATCATAGGCATTTGGAAGAGGTTCCTCCTCAGGGTTTTCCTTATCAAACCAAGTTTTCCACATTTTCTCATTTCTTGATATCTGAAAATACAAGGAGATAAGAAATGTGTCACACCATGAAAACTTCTTTCAATAATAGGTCACAAATATGTTTCATTGAACTTTCTGACCACTCCAGACATATGCGAATGATATCCCTTGATTATTTTCTTATTTTATATTCTAGTGACCAAAAGTTTGAAAATTAACAATCAAATGTGGTTTGCTTGCCCTGGTCGGTTTGGGTCAGTGGTTAGAGTGTTGGCCCACAATCCAAAGAGTCCCGGATTTGATTCCGGTCAAGGGCACGTACCTGTTGCAGTCGGTCCCCAGCCCTGGTTGGGATCGTGTGGGTGGCAACCAATCGATGTGTCTCACATCAATGTTTCTCTCTCTCTCTCCCTCCCTCATGCTCTGAAAACAAATAGAAAAATATTCTCAGGTGAGAGTTAAAAAATAAGTAAATTTTAAATGTAGTTTGCTCTTATGTCATTCTGTAGTAACACCAGTCTACAGCTAGCTTCCGAAGTAGAGAGTCCTGGGATGTTAATTCCTTTTGTCTTTGTGGTAACAAATGTGTAATGAATTAAAAAATCAATGAAAACTCATTTTCATTATTTTAAGGAAATCTGATTCGTTCCATGAAATCATCTCATGAAGAAGAACCAAGTCCCATTCATTTATGTTTCTTCATTTCTCAGGACAACTCTAGGCACACACACACAGCAGGTATTTAATACATGTTTTTATAATTGAATGAAGGTTTTTTAGGCCAGTCTGCTGTTAATTAGAGTAATTAGAAATATACCACTTAATATCAAATAAATAATCCAACCCTAGCTTCCTTTAGGCAACTGACAAGGAGGAAAAGAACACAGTCCACTACCTTCTGGAGCTTAAAAAAATCGAAGCAGGAAGAGCATTACATAAACAAGCATCTGAAACACAGAGCAAACAACATCTACAGGTAAGTATAATCTTATGTTCTCTGGTATATTCCCTTTGATTAAATACCCAAGTGTATTTCTTAGTGGCCTAATAAAAAATAAACCATTCCAGGTTTGTATTTAGAAAGTATCATGTAAGAATAAAAAATAATAACCTCTTTCAATCATGAAAGACTACATAATGTGGAGAAATTCCAGGTATAAGATATATTCTCCAGAATATAACAACTTCAATAACAGAGGATGGTCCAGTAAGGTCACTAGGAGTCATCCTGTAGGGGAATATGCTAAAGTGCATTAAAATCTCCCAAATGAAAGTTATTTAACCCAAAAGTATGGTTTGTACCTCAATTCTATGGTAATCATCAGTTGTAAGCCAAGACCTAAAAATATAGCAGAACTTAAGCTGCTCAGTTAAACTGGGAAAATCAAAAAATAAGCTTAGAAAAATTTTTAAGAATTATTTTTTAAGCCTTCAAAATGCAGTTGAATAAAGCCACCTCACTCTCAATGTACTTTCTCTCTGGTCATTTGATTTTTAAAAACCTGTCTCCGGCCTGTCCCAACTCAGTTCTCTATACTCAACTTCCATGATCGCAACAGATACACAATTCATCAGCAACTGGCTGATTATGAAAGGACAATCACTCCCAAAGATAAGAGGCCAAGTATCTGCATTAGATTCATACCTGGATGCCTCGCTAAGGCAGGATAATAAAGAGGCAGAAGAAGAGTGAGAACAAGAGGCAAGAAAGGATATTTCACATCATTGAGAAGCAGGCTGTTCATATTTCTTTTCATATTTAATCTCAAAAACGAAGGCTAAACCTCTTAAGTAGACCTAATTATTGCACCTAATTGAATCTATCAGTTTCTCTGCCTGTGAATCTCCAGTTGATGGTACTGACATATAGCACAGGGCAGCATTAGTTAAACTTCCTGGGCAAATAATTTCCTACCTCAAGACCAGTCTGCAGTGGGTGGAGTACGCTTTATCAGAGTGTAAGTGAGCTGTAAGTAAGGTCAAACACAGGTCATACACCTTAAGAGTGTCAATATTAAGAAATCTCTCTCTTCCATGAATATGGTAGCTGGTGATAAATTAGGAAGCTGCTCACTGAGACATTATCATAAGTTTATTCAAAGCACAGGTTACCTGATCAAGGACATCTGAAAACTGTCTAAGTTTGCTGAGTTCCACCAAATTCAGCCAGGTCATGTCCAGGATCCACTTAGATGGTTTAGGAGGACAAGCTTTAAGGTCCAATGAGGCGCCACCTTTAAAATTAAACATATAAAGTTTTTAGACTTTTCTTTCTTCATTATAAAACAATCTATAAAAACTTTTGCTTCGCTCTGGCTAGAGTGGCCCAGTAGTTAGAGCATCAGCCCATGCATCGAAGGGTCAAAGGTTCAATTCCTGGTCAAGGGTACCTGGGTTGCAGGTTCAATGCCTGGCCCTAACCAAGCCAATTGATGTGTCAATGTGTCTCAGAAACTTTTGCTGAACTATTTTAATTTCAATTATTTTACTACCTTGACATGTTTAAGCTCAGAAATATAAATCATGGTGATGAACAAGATTTAAATTTTAATGATAGATTATTTCACAAAAACTAATGTAAGAATCAGTAACAAACTTTGGAGACAGGCAGATGCTGGATTCCATCATAGCACCACCTGGCCAGGGTCTGGAACAATCCAGATCATCTGTCTGTATATTCTTTCCTTTTTTTATTTAATATATTTTTATTGATTTTTAGCGAGAAAGGAAGGGAAAGGAAAAAAAAGTTAGAAACATCAATGTGATAAAAAAAACCATCAATCAGCTGCCTCCTGAACACCCCCTACTAAGGACTGAGCCCACAACCCGGACATGTGCCCTGACCAGGAATCGAACCAGTGACCTCTTGGTGCATAGCTTGATTGATGCTCAACCACTAAGCCACACAGGTCAGGCTTATTTTCAAATATGTAAAATGGGAATAATGAACCCTGCGTGTCATGATAGTGACAGAAAGCATGTGTAAAACACACAATACAGGATCAAGGACAAAGGTGAATATCACGAAATGAGCAGCTATTGTCAATATCAAGAACTACCCAATGAGCACAAGCTCATTTGAAAGAAAGAATTTACCTAGAAATGTCAGTAGCACTACGTGTGTTTGAAGAGTTGTCTTCTATAAATCAATATATTATTTACATCCATTTCTAGCACACCCCTAGAGCCCTGTGCTGTATCAGCTCTGTTTGGTCGATCTAACCACAGCAAACATTTCTGTTCGTACTGGCTCCTATCTTCTTGCTAATGATTTACCTAAGCTCACGTGACCCCTGTAGCTCACAGCACCATAAAACAAATGACACCTTAGAAATGCTATTGTGGCCCACCTCAGAAAAAGCATGTGTGAACAATCATATTTTAAGTCAAAGAAGGAGTTAGTGAGTCTTTATAGTGTAAAATATACTGTTTAATAAATAACACCTATTAAAGTGTTTCAGGGGAAATATACTCTAAGCATAACTCTTAAGAGGATATAATCAATGCATTTGGCTACCTTTAAAATAATGTTTTAACAGAGTAGATCATAAACAAATAATTACATTTAAGATATTTATTGAATCAATCTCTACATCATCCAAGCACCATGTACCCAACTAAATTGCTCACTTTTGCCAAATCCATCTTAGTATATTTCCAACAAGGTAAGTGTAGCCTTGAAGCCATTTCAATAAAAATATAAGCTCAGGAAATCGAAACAGATTGTTTTAATACCAGTGATCAGTTAAAGACCTAAGGACAATGTTGTTATGTTGAAAAACATCACACCAGTTTCCATGAAAACTGTCCATCTTCCAACAAACTGAAAAGAATAAGGAATTCACCAGAGGCTTAGAGAGAAGTAATTCATAGAAAGGGTATTCCTTGCAGCCAAAGCATTATTCATTGTTTAGTGCAAGGTAACTGGGTCATGAATATCTTCTGTGGCTCAAAAGTGTACAATAGGCCACAAAGAATGACTGTAATGGGTGAGGGAGGGAGAGTACTTGTTCCTGGATAATATGATACCAGATTAAACAGACTGATGAGTGAACAACTGAGACAGGAATAATTCAAATTATATTCTGAAGATGATAAAGAATGATTCCATTACCTTCATTCTTCAAACCCTTGCTTTGGGAAAAGTAAGTTTAAATTTTTAGCATAATACTTTATAAGAATGATACATGCTTATAATGAAATACTTATGCAAGTTACACCACACAATTGTAAGAGGCAGAGCTCAGGCCAACTTAGCAAGTCATCTAGGCTCATCCTTGCCCATCTTAGAGACGAGTAAATTAAAAGACCGGTATGAAAACAGTGTTGCTATCCAAAAAACAGGTTCAAACAAGTGATTTTGAAGTCTCTATAGAGGGAAGTCATGTCGTCGGGTAGCTCTCACTAGCATCATGTCCAAAGGCAGTCTTCTGAAACTGTGTCACAAGCAGTATCACAGATAGTTGTTCAATGGCAAAGGCCCAGAAAAAGCTGTCCAACCTCTGCAAGCCTCTGGCTAATTAAAATAAACTAAAATACTGAAGATAACATAGAAATGCCTATCATTTGCTGAGCATGTTCGATGTGCCAGGGTTTAAATAAGTTTGATTCTCAATAATCTTACAGATGTGGTATACTTGCAAGGCTAAATTACCAGCTCAAGACTACTCATCAAGGCAGTGGCAAAACCACTATTGTCCCTTAGAGTCTTCCTAACTCTAATCCTATGTCAGTTATCATCATCCACCCTGTAACACACTTTACAGTATTCCCACCAGACAAGGATTCTATGCTCAATGTCATTTCCATGGGAAAATGCCTTTCACGCCTGAATTGAGGACATCAGGAACAACTTTCCATTAGGAAAGCTCGGTCAGCTAGAGGACCAGACTAGTGAAGCCAGAAACCAGTAATAAATGATACATATCTATCTAAGGTGGTATCTCTCCAGAGCACTCATCTTCTACATGTTCAGCTTTAGAAAACTTAAAAAATAAAGAAACCACCCTGACCGGTTTGGCTCAGTGGTCAGAGCATCAGCCCTCAGACCAAAGACTAGCGGGTTCAATTCTGGTCAAGGGCACATACCTCAGTTGCAATTCAGTCACTGGCCCTGGTCAGGGTCGTGCAGGAGGCATCTCTCACGTTGATGTTTCTGTCTCTGTCTCTCCCTCTCTCTCTCTCTCCCTCCCTCCCTCTCTCCCACTCTGTCTGAAGATAAATGGGAAAAAATATCCTCAGTGAGGATTAAAAATAAATACATTAAAAAATAAAGAAACCTAAGGAGCAAGGATACAAGAGACAACAAATTAGAGTGAGAGAGAGAGAGATTATCTATAAACCATAAATTTCTAAGCTCAAGTCTAACTGAATGAGTCTTTGTTGATACTATAAGATGGGCATGCATATGTATATGAACAAGTATGACTATGGACCTACACACCCTCCAGGGTACAGCATGTGCATATCCATACCCCTCCCTACTACCCTCATTGGGGTTCTCTTTGAGTTCCTCTGCGAATCTACTATTCAGATGAAGTCACAAAAATCCCCCCACCCTCAAGATAAAATTATGTCTTATCTTTAAAAGCTTTGCTTAGAAAGGTATAGTAGAGAACCCTTTTAGCCCCACCATCATTCCCACAGTCACTTTAAATATCTGTTGTCCAGACATTCAAGACTATGATAGTGAATTTATGTTTCCCAGCCTTCCCCTGGGCTGTCTTGTTCCAGTTTCACTGGGGCCTGTCTGTGAGCAATGCTTCAGTAGATTCAGAATAAGTATCCACAGGCTGAGCTGCACAGTCATGTCACCCACTCACTCCAGTCACCCTACTTGCTTGCTTTTCCTCCACCATACTCCTTGCTTCCACCAGAGCCGACTACTCTTCCTTCCACACTCTTCCTCTAAATGTCCCCAGGGCCAGTGCTCCATGCTCTTCCAGGCCTTTACTCACCTGCCCATCTCTCACGGAGACCTACCCCATTAGAGGTCCCATTAAATATCCCATTTAAAATTTTAAACCTCCCTGACTCCACACAACCTTATCCAGCTCTGTTTTTTCATTGTCCTTACCAGCTTTTCACATACTATATAATTTACTTATTGTTTTACTATATTTTCTCTGCATCACCCATCCAAAAAATATATAAACTCTACAAAAGCAAGATTCTTCTTTTTGTTCACTGATGTGTTCCAAGTGCCTATTCTGTGCTCCAGCACACAGTAGGTTCTAAACAAATATTCATACAATAAAGGAACACATAAAATATCTCACATAAGTGCAATCTGCAATGAAATGCAAGGAAACTATTACAACCAGAAGAAAATATTGCACATGACCTTCACAATCAGTCCTACACCTACACCTGTGCACAATGCTTCCCATGTTAGCTTGACCTTTAATAAAGGTGAGAAACTCCTCATGCTTGACCCGGTTCCTCTGGATGTCAATCTTCAGGGTAAGCAGCAAGGTGAACAGAAATTTGTGCTCCTCATACAAGCCCCGAACTGCATACTTATAGACCTCATAGGTCATGTGTTCAATGATATTAGCAATTCTTTTGCTTGTAATTGGGCTCTTGACAGACCTGAAGCAGAGAACATTGAAATCAGACTTATCCCCCTGCCCTTTTCAGTTGTCCATAAAAACAACGTCTTGAATAGTGAATAAGTAACTTTGGAGGGCCAATTCTTATTTTGTACACATCAAGGGTAAGACTTCTAAATCTAAAATAACAAGCATTCTCTCAACATGAAATAACATAACAGAGTCCACGACGTGGTCTAAATCAATTTTACCCGCCAGGCATTATCACTCACAACAGTGTCTTGGGAATTTTCTTGTTTAACAGAAACACATGAAACCACAAGAATCAATCAATGGATGAATAGTTGGTGGAGCTTTCTCTGAACATAAAATGACACATGAGAATGATTTGTTAACACACTAGTAATTGCACTAATCTTAGATTAAAAAAAAACAAAACGACTCAGCAAAGGTAAAGAAAGTTATAAATGTAAAGTCATCATTCTAGCCCACAGATATAGAATTCAGCTTGGCTTTCCAAACTCCAACACACCTGACTAAGGAAAGGTCAAACAAGCCCAGAAACTGGCGGAGTGAAGTCTGATACATCTCATTAACCAAGCGCATCTCGGTGATGAGGAAGTAGAGGATGCTGCCCCGTGTAGCCACTGAAAGACAAAGAGTAAGGTTGCATGCACTATCAGAGTGGAAAATTAATGACCTGGCCACCAATCAGCCTCAACTCTAAATGAAAACAACAAGTTTTAATTGTATGTCTTATTAATAACTGTATCAGCAATGGGAATCTAGAGCGATGCTCATCCTATTTAATTCTTACTTTTAGGCTTTGTTTAAGTAGTCCTCTATTTGTGTTTATCAAATGGTACTTTCCATTTTAGAATTCCGAGATCCCTTAAGGATACATTTACTGTATTTTACTGTATTTTTATAGGTAGAAAAGACAAATGAGTGGATATCAAAGCTTTTAACACCTAGCAAGTTGTGTACGCATTGGAAGGACCTCATTCTTAAGCGCCATGAAGAAGCTGTGCTTAACCTTGACCTCAAGCTGGCAAAACAAGGCACCGCAGAGGATGCTCCTGACTCTCCACCAATAGAAGATATTGTTTTGCTTATTTTTCCAAGAGTAATGATAACTTACTAAAGGAGACTGAATTCTTTTAGGAGGTTCCTCTAGTAACCAATGAATACCACCAATTTTCAAATTGGTGGATACATCTGAAGAGTTCCTGTGGTACCAGAGAACAACCTTCCTATTACAAAGACTGTAAACAAAACACTAGCTTCTTGTTGCCAAGTGATAAATTAGTAAACAGCCCCAAATTGGTGCATTCTTTCCTCAAATTTCACTAATTTGTAGTCATATAGTCTTTTAAAATTCTCCCTTTCCTTTCTAGTTTCAAAATAAGTTCCTAAGAACTTTATTTATTTATTTATTGATTGATTGATTGATTGATTGATTGGTATGTGCCCTTAGCGGGAACCGAACCTGAGACTCTCTGAACCACAGGCCAACGCTCCAACTGCTGAGCCAAACCAGGCAGGGCAGTTCCTAAGAACTTTAAAAGATTTGCCAACTAACACACATTATAGACACCTAGAAAATTAATGCCACTATAAAATACTTTCATCTAAATTTTACTGAATAGAAATGCCACAAAACATAAATGGCCGCCCCACTCTGCACAGTCATCGGCATAATGTCCTTACTTCTGTCAATTTTTCTAATTCTCATTTATTTCACGCTTCATTTTCCTGTGACATTAGTCTTTCATTACCAAACTCACCAGGTCTGTATTCCTCCCGAGCTGAGTTAATTTGAATTTCTGTCTCAGCTGAAATTTCCAGCTTCTGTGTAACCTCCTCGGCCGTCATTTTTGTGTTACTCAATACAACAATGAGACTCTCATCTTCCACCAGGGACCCCTGGGTACTCGTCAGCCGGTAAAGCAAATTATCTTCTAGCTCCTTCATTTTTCTTTTGTTTGCAGTTACATCTTCCATAAGATGAGTTCTTTCTTTCTCCAATTCCTGTAAATTTACATAAATATATTTTCTTCCTTAATTAACAACTATTGTTTGGCCATTCCTTAAAAAGTTAACCTACAGGGCTGCCCTAAGCTCCTGTACTAGAGTTACAATATTTGACTACAAAAAAATACAGACATCGAAATAAGAGCAGAATTAGCAGAGGAAAGAAGAATTGGTGGCAAACAATGTGAAATTTGCTAAAAGCATTACGAATGTCCCTTTACCAACCATTTCTTTCCTCAAGTCAAATCAATTATAAGTGACTTTTGTGATTACATTTAAGCTTGTTTTGAAGGTGACATATATTTGAAAATATATTGAAATACACTTGAAGACAAATATATATGTCTCAGATGAAATACATTTACTTCTGCAGGTACATTTTAATTGAAAAATCTTCTTTGCCGGCAAAGGTGCTGTTCTCTCTAAGAGGAGTAAAGATCGGTGTCATCCCTGAAGAACAGAATGACTTCAGAAGATTATCATCCCTACTGGCTATCTCTTCCTCCTGATACTTTGGCAAGAGAGAGGCAATGGAAAAGAAGAAAAGAGAAGATGCAGCTGGTGAGGGTTGGGGAAGGAGGAAACGGCCATGATGCTGAACAAGCCAGAGGAAGCGGGAAGCCTGTGGGCAGGGGAACAACAGAGAAGATACCCTCTGGCACCAAGTCAAGTTGTATGTGAAAGTCAAATTGTTATATGAGAGACTCTAACTTCGAGACTAATAAAAGAATCAAAAATGGGAAGGACAGCCCTGCCGGTTTGGCTCAGCAGTTAGAGCGTCGGCCTGCGGTCCGGAGAGACCCGGGTTCAGTTCCCGCTAAGGGCACGTACCTCGGTTGCAGTTTGTCCCCGGCCCTGGTCGGTCGTGCGGGTGGCAGCCACTCGATGTGTTCCTTTCACATCGATGTTTCTCTCTCTCTCTCTGTTCCTCTCTCTCCCTCCCACTCTACCTGAACAAAAAAATGGGAAAATGTCCTCGGGTGAGGATAAAAAAAAAAAAAAATGGGAAGGACAATGAGTAAAAAGTAGGTAAAAATCTAGTCCTGTCTTGGTATCAAAAGCACACACATGAAAATTCTCTATAACTGGAAAACCATTTAGTTAAAATAAAGGTGGTAATAACACAATTGCATTAAGGCAAAGAGCAGAGACCACCGGCCTGTGCTTTCTATTCTAGCCAGGTAATCACCATTGGTTGATCAAGTATGGTGGGTAGGACCCTACCAGGTTTCCAGTTCATGGTTTGAGCACAAGGAGTCAGGACTTGGAACATTCTAGAAAAGGAAAATGCCTACTTTAAGAAAAGCAAAATCTCTGAACTGACATCAATTCTTAATTCTTTGAGATGTAGCAACTCCAGCAAAACCTGTGCTTATTATCTTTGTTTCCATCTGTTACTTGGTTATATTTGGAAGCTCCCTGAGTAGTTATTTTAATCCATTTATTCTACAGATGAGAATCTCAAATTTGAGGTAATGCAGAAAACAGTACAAACAAGTGACATTTAAAGACCATCATAAAATTTCTTTCTAAAAGCAGTTATAATAAAAACACTCATACTATGGTTACACTAAGAAACACAGTGATGATAAAATTAAAGGAAAAAACTTCAATTATTTCTTATTGCCATAATCATAAATGCACACTAACATTATCATTTCTGAGTTCCTAAAGGTGAGCTTTATAAAAGTCCTCACCTGAAGACAGATAAGAAAAGGAATAGAATAGTGGGCAGAATAATGGTTTTGACATCAGAAAAACATGTTTGAATCCAAATTCACAGGACTTATTAACTATATGACCTTGACCATGTTACATAACTCTACAAGCATCAGTTTCTTCATCTGCAAGATGGACATAAAAACAGCTCAGAGCATGATTGTGAGGATATCACTCTGAAAGCAGCTAAAACACTGACTGGATCATGATAGCTGCTCAGAACGTGTCTCGTCCCTTCCATCTCCTCCCTTGATTCATTTCCAACATGGATTTCCAGAAAGATTATAATGTTTATTTAGAAATGAGTAATTTGAAAAATAAAATCTTAAGTTGACACCAAAGAAGTCATACTTTAGAGTTCACATATCATCATAAAAGCATAATGATACAGCTGAAAGGGTTTTTTAAAAGGAGAACTTTCTAATTTTGCACTTATGCTAAGTATATGTGCTTTAGTGTCTGCTGAAGTCAGAGCCAGGGCTGTCAACACCCAAACTGCACCAACTCTTTCTGAGTCTTTTCCTGAATAACATTTTTTCTTCTGTCCATTTTTTTCTTCAATTACATGGCCCCTGCCCTAATTGGGGCATTAATTATTCCTTGCTGGACCATTCTGACTACACTTAGTCTCCCTGCTGACCCATTTTGTTTTGTTTTTTATCCTCACCTGAGGACATTTTTCCATTTTTCATTCAGACAGAGCAGGAGGGAGAGAGAGGAAGAGAGAGAGAAAAAAAAACATCAATGTGAAAGGGACACATTGAGTGGCTGCCATCCACACGACCCAACCAGAGCTGGGGACAAACTGCAACTGAAGTACATGCCCTTAGCAACAACCGAACCCAGGTCTCTCTGGACCACAGGCTGACGCTCTAACTGCTGAGCCAAACTGGCCAGGGCTGACCCTTTTTTTTTGGTCATCTACCTTAGCTGTTTGGAAAGGGCCAAAATTTTCAACATACTTCACGAAACCTGTCATGACCTACATTTCCAGTCTTGTCTCCACTTCCAACTTATGAGGTTGAGACTAAATTGTGCCTCTATGTTGCTTGAAAACCAATTATTAATAAAATATATACAGTTATTAATAATACATACAATACAGGGAAAATTACTCATTACTTATTTTAAAAGTAGTAAGTAAAAGTGTGAATATTATTGAGAGGGCGCAGTCAATTTAATATCATTGTTAACACTATTTACATAAATTTGTCAATAAAAGTAATAAATTTATATTGTCAAAGGCTTAAAATAAGACCAGGCTATATATTTCCCCCAAAGTTTGAAACCAATGAAATAATAACTCTAAAGGAAGTATAATTTAAAGTAATGTTTGGGATTACAAAAGCAAAATATGTATTACATGGTGCAAAAGTGGCCAAACACTAGAAGAGACAATAGTCGTGGGGAAAAATTTATCTTTGAAAGAAAATAGAATAATTGTTGTTTGCTTTTCACTCAAGATTTATCTTTATTGGGATATGGTTTTGAGCATATTTTAATTTGTATGACTGATTTAAACTTATTTCTGTTGAGTACAACTTTAGTTCCACCAATATATAAAAAGATAGTTATTTTTCAAATTAATATAAAGGAGCAAAATTAATCAAAATAATTTTGTCTGTAAGCATTTTCCCCAGAACAGGTATTACCCCTTACACACACATGCATGCACACACACAGCAGTAAACATCAGTGCTCTGAATTCTGTATCCTAAGGCTACAATGTAATATTGTTATCTAAGCTGTAAAAAGTATCCCCAAAGTAAGAAAGCACAGCAGTGATTCAGTACAATTTCAGGAAATATACTATTTATTAATTCACTGATCAAAAATTAAATGACTCAAAAAAGATGTAAATGAAAACTGAAATGCATTGTGTACATAAATGACACATGTAACTGAAGTTTTCAAATCCATAAAAGAAAATAGATGACAGCCTTTCAGGGTTCTCATTTCTAAGGTGTCACCCAGGCTTTCATTCCCAAAGAGTCTTTCTCTTCTGTACCTTACTGGTAATTAAAATAGAAAGATTAAATAACAGAACTTGAAAACAGATTGATTTTTTTTTTCTACCACTAGTGAGCTAGTGATAACAATGTCTGTTTAAGTGTCTTTATTAAATTACTTCTCATATCAGCTCCACCAGGTTCAAGTTCCTCCACCTCCAAAGGAAATAAATCATCCACCTGTGTGCTCATCCAGAATTCTAAACAGTAATTACCTCGAGGCTTTGTATTGTCTGACCAGTAGAAGTTGTTCATTGATATTTGTATTTTTCTCCTAATACTACAGAGCTCCCTTTGAGTTTCTGTCTGTTCTCCAGGATCAAGGTCAGAGTGAGCCTAAGAGATTGGGTTTTCTTTAAAGGAGAGTTGCTGGAGGGCTACTGGTTTACTGCCTGCTTAAAATGGTCTCGATACATCACCTTCCGGTGACAACAGAGGCTGTCTAAATCTACTCACAGGTACATCAATCAGGTCAACAACTGAATATGGCCTTGATGTGAACTTGAAAAGCTCACACATTTAAAACGACTGCCTTGAAGCGCACAGAAAAGTGTCAAGTCGGTTGAAAAGCCTGCCTTCTTGCATTCATATGCTCTGAGGTTTCCATTTGTTTCTGAAGCAAATAAACCTGTGTGTCCAGCAGGCTTCATGGCCAAGCATTCCTGAGACCAGGTTCCGTGTGAGAAGGCTCCCCACTGCCCGTGTTCCCAGAACACTGGGAAGCTGATGAAACTATGGAATCAAAGGATAATGGTCTTTCCCTTGCAGGAGAAGCTGCAGTTCCAAGCCACAAGAAGAATCAGCAGACCAGCGAAGGCACAACTCATCCTGACTGAAGACATTCACCATCTGTGTCAGCCTAACATTTAAGGGATTTTCTTAGATGCTTTCCAGTATCAACTTCCTAGCGGTGGGATCTTCCTAGCCTCCAATACCCACCTTGGTTCTATAACATTTTATATTGGTATTTTATATTCATCTTTATAGTCACCCAAAAGTGATCATAGACTATATCATCAATGAAGTCAAAGGAGCAATTTAAACGTAAAAGTACTTTTTTATATCTGTGTCCAAACAGCACAGATATAGGCTCTTCTCAACTGACTCACTAGATCATAGGAACTGGCCTGAAAGCACCAGAGGCCACCCCAGAGCCACGAGCCACCATCCAGGCTGGAGAGATGTAGCAATGGGAGTAGATTCGGGAATATGGTGGGAAGAACAGGAGCTGCAAAATAAAAAGCTGCTTGCAGAACAGATGCTGCTTAAAATTCATCAAAATTAAGTCCTGCGGGAAGGAGGCTTTGCTTTAGAGAAAAGAAAATACAGATTACATGTTGTAGGACAATGTGGCTCCGGGTGAGAGACCCTCTGTTATTATAAGAAATGAGTGTCACGTTACTCTGACTATATTTTTTGCAAAAGGCATTTACTGTGAGACTGGAATGGATTCTGATAGCCAGATGACAGTAAAGGAGTAATTTCTCAAGACATTCAGCTTTCCCAGGAAGTAAGAAAACGCCAGGCCCCGGATCCATATTGGCTTTTCAAAGCTGTTTGAAGTCTCTTTTTCAAAGGAGCTTGGCGGGCTCCTCGCTTCATCTCAAACCTCTGCTGCCACAATTACAGCTCAGTGCTGGTGCCGTTTTGTTTTGTTGTAACCACAATCTGTCAGGCTAAATTATTTTTTCCAAGGAGACCCTATTCATCTCAGCTGAATAGAAAGAAAACCAGGGACAAGGATATTATTCAAACTGCCATCAGAGCCCCTTATCTCCCTGCGGCCGGCGCCCCAGGTGAGAAGGGGCCCCAGATGCGGGAGGGAAACTGCCCGCACACACTGCATGCTGTGGGTCACCACCACGTTCTTCCTGCCGACATGACATGGCAGCGCTACACTTCCTCAACCACCTCCACTAAGACTCCAAAAATAATGCCCAAACGGTGTTGCCACTTTGATAGCTAGTCTGTGGCAGGCATTCTAGCATCCGTTCCTGCCATTTTTTATTTCCTGATATTTTATTTAGGGACAGGCTCAAGCATAATACAACATACAAAAAAGGTAAAAGTAATAGAAAGAACAGACTCTAAAAATTTTGCCAACTCAACCTGAATAAATCTTTAGATCAGTATAGAAGGTGCCGTTAAGTAAACTAAACTCCTCATTGCTATTGAATCCAAAAGAAAATCAATAGCAACTTTCAGAGTCCATCCAGTTTCACCAAAGAAGTCCTATTAAAATCCTCTAGATTTCTCTGCCTGAGACTCACATGTTCCCTGGAGACAATGCTGACTCAGAACAAGGAACAGATCTAGAGGTATGTTTATAGAGCAAAAGTAAGCCAGTATCTTCCAGAAAGTTCTCAGTAAACTCTATCTTCTCACAACATACACAGAACTTTCTTAGATAACAAGTAAGAACAAGTATTATCTGTTACAGCATTTTAATTTTATATTCCAAAAGCATAACAATGAATCAAATGAAAGAAAAACCTAGATATGTATTAGAAAACTAAAAGTCCAGAGGCGAACAGAACTCACAATAGGACAAACTCTTCAGAAAAACAAAGTAATATAAAACCAGAATAATGATGCTGAAAATAATACTGATACGCTCACAGTTACATCATTTGTCTATATAAAATCAACTGATGCTATGTATGTGATCTATGAGAGGCAGATGAAATATATTTAGATATTGGTTAACAGTGACCTAAGACACTTGGGAATTAGTAATGAAAAAAAAGTTCAGAATAAATGGGGGGGGAACTCAATTCTATTACAACTTTTATCATGTTGTTTTCATCATTGAAGAATCACAACATAATGCAAAAGGAGGGTGGCCATACTTCACTCACCTGCTTCTCTGTAAGAATGACTCTACCCAGTAACTGGTCTTCTAGACCTTTCATGGTAACCGTGAAGTCAATGATGGAGGTTCGAGCACTTATTTCAGGGGTGTAGGCAGGGTTGGGCAGTTTGGTGGTAATGTAGAGTCTGAAGCCATCCATCACATCTACTTCCTTGTCACTGACTTTCACCTTTTTTATAAAAAGAAAGGTAAAAGTAATAAAACAGAGATGCACCTTACTGTGTCTTTTTGTACAAGATTCCTTTAAGCAATTACGTACCTAGAGGTAATTTATATTAAAAATGAAATGATCCTCGGGCATTCACAGGGCTTAAACCTACTAGGAAAGAAGGAAAGAAGGAAGGGAGGGAGGGAGGGAGGGAGGGAGGGAGGGAGGGAGGGAGGGAGGAAGGAAGGAAGGAAGGAAGGAAGGAAGGAAGGAAGGAAGGAAGGAAGGAAGGAAGGGAGTTAGTTCAATATATACCATGCAATAAATACAGAATTTATCACCAAAACTGTTGTGATCATACTGAAGAAGTGAATGGATTCCCCGCCCAGAATCTGGCTCACACATGCATTAACAGGATAGGAAAAGATTTACTACTCGCATGATGAGATTTTCTGGGGAGATTAGGATAGGCTTCCAAGCAGGTCCAAAAGATCTCTTGAGAGGGTCAAGAGGGGCAGCTGTTTCAGGGTTTTGTGTAGCTAGGGTATGGGGCTGGAATGAGGGTTCCAAAACATAGGTATGGACAGGGAGTTGCATGATTTCAATTTCCCACCAGAGCCAAAGGAGAGACAGAGTATCCAGATTTTCTTAACAGCTTGCCCAGATTTGGGATAGAAGGGGAGAGGGGCATGATGGGGCTTGAAAACTGTCCATAGTCAAATACCATAAAATAGAGTCAGGCTTTATTAAACATGCAAAATAGATATTCCTACAGGGACTACTCCTGAATACTTTAATCCCAACTCAGGAAGTATAGAAAAGGAAATGCCTCTTGCACCCAACTCAAATCTGAGTAACTGCCTATTGAGAATGTCACATTCAGATGGTCTCATGGTCATTGCTCTGCACAAAAAGGTTTATCCTACCTTAAAGGTAGACCCAGTCTTAATGAAGTTTTTCTCCAAAACATTTTCCAGAGCTGGATCTAGTTCCTCGCCAACATCTTCGATCAGCAAGGGCCTTCCAAGAGAAAGACTGTCCTCCAGATGGTTTCTGAAGTACTTGTGATTTAGAGATGTGATCTAGAAAACAAATCAAAATGTCGCTCTTGAGAGATGGTATTGTGATGCAATGCATAGAGACAGCTCATAGGCAGTTGTGCCTAAGCATTCTCTCTCAGGAGACAGACCCAGAGAATTTAGACATCCTTACTTGGAACCACACATTTGGTGAAGTGGTAAAGAAAGCTTAAACGCTTTCTGATTTTTCTCAGCAAACCACCATTGCCCTTTACCGGGAAGCATGGAATGTCTCTGTGTGGCAACACTGCCTTGCCCTCACCACCACACTTGTGACAAATAATTACGAAATAATTATGAAGTGTCCATATGAAGTGCTGTCACTTAGTGTGATACAACTCCACCCGCTCTATTTATCAAAGACAGCCTTGGCCCTAACAGAAGAAGCAAGTCTGAAATCTTTGAAAGATGACATTAGTAGAGATCAACACAAAGACAAATAATGCAATTTTTAGAAATTATTTCTAAATATTAGTATCTAATATTACTTTTATATCACTTTGTAAGGTACATAAATGGTGGATCATTATGTTGAACACCTGAAACTAATATAATACTGTAAGTCAATTATAAATTCATAAAATAAACCAAAAAGTAAACTAGAAATAAACAGAAAACAGCTCTGCAAGATAAAAAAAATGGATAGATAAAATCATTTCTAAATATTAATATTTCATTATTCTTTTATACTTGTTGACCTGAGGCAATAAAACTTGACTAGTAAAATAAATATATCCAAACACAAATTACCTGCAGTTCATTTTGGCTTTCTTTATTTTTAATCCAGCTCTTGCCTTGAGTCTGTGGATCAATTAACAAAGGATAGCGAGATGCCTTTGTGACAATGATTCCGTTTTGAATGGACAGGTCATCGTTTGGCAGGCCTTGGAGGTTCCATTCACTAATCGTAGGAGCATCAATCAACATCTCATTGAGATTCAGACTGTAGGCAAATGGAATTTTCCGGGCTTTCATTTCCTTCTGCCAGTCATTTAATAGCAGATTGCGAAATTCTTGGTTAAATGGGCCAGAATAAGACAGAAAAGCCGTCGCCAACAATACATCCCCTAAAATGCAAAAAAAAAAAAAAACACTGAGAAACTGTATGATCAGCCTTGTAATTGTATAGAATACTAAAAGTGAAAAAAAAAAAAATTCACATTCTTTTAAACTAAATTCCAGATACCAAAGTGTAACCACATGGTATTATGTCTTGATGAATAAGCAGTAGTTTGGTTCATGGTTAAACAGGGTCCAGATGGTCCACCAAAGGTTGGCTGCTATGATCAAGCACTGGATTAAATGATTTGTTGGTGTGAGACGATGACTTCTGAGTTTGATACAAAACTTAGAAGACAGAGCCTCCATTCAAAGTGATCTTGGTCAATATCACCATTCACTCATAGGAGACTTCAAAAGTGCCCTGATAATGAGAGGTTTAAAGGTCATTAACACATCTAATAAAGACTGCATAGAGGCCAGACTAATATTCATTCTTCTGAAATACTAGAGACACACACACACACAGGACTTTAAAGTAATTGAGTGTTGGTTTGTATTCCAATTAAAGCTTAAATTTGTTAACTCCCTAACACAGCCAACACATAATCCCATCAATCAAAACATTTACATACCTACAAGTCTTTTAGTTTGTGCGGCAAACTCTTTACTTTGCTCTGTCCATCTTTCTTTTTCTCCTGCCAAGCCCCCGATCAGCGTGGAGGCAGTCTGCATCTTACGTCTGCACCGCTCGGCATCTTCAAGCAAGGTCTAAAAAAGGTCAAAGCCAAGAGAAAACTTTTGTTCAGATAAATACAGCCTCTGGCTCAAAAATGCAATTTAAAACATTATATATTATCTGCCTTTCTGAGACATGTGAGCCATTCATTTCTTAGAAGCATAAGATTCAATTCCCGTGTGCCTGTGTCTGCCCAAGCCTGTCTTTAAGGAATTTGGATGGATTTTTCATGTGGGGCCCTGGGCCAATTGGTCAGACCCTCCCCAGATGTTAACAACTGAGAGATTATGGAAATTTGCATCATTTATAATTTTTCTATAAAGAAAAGTAGAAATAAAACATAAACATACATGCTAATATCAGAAAGCACAAAAGAAATCATAAGAAATACATATGCTTATTACAAATTGGACCAATTTTTCATTTTAAAGTTCCAGCATCATTATTGCTTTATATAACACTACATCTCCTTTCACTTCAGGTAAAACTTGAGATTCTCTTCAGATTGTGGTGTTCCGAAGCTCCTCCACAAATTCCAGCCATGCTTGACTCAGCAGGTCGCTCCCTGCTGCTCCCTATGTCTGCAAAGACCTTTAACCCAACTTCCACATACTGTTGCCACTGGGTGCTCAGTCATTAAAAACAAATGGTTCTGACTCTCTTTAATGTGTAAGAGACAACTGTTAATTCTACTTGTAAGAAAGTATACTTATGAAATAATAAGGAATATGGATAAAGATTGAGCTGTGTAACCAGTACCTGGGAATTCATGCATAATACATATATCTACATTTTATATATATATTTAGCATGTAAAGTTGACTCTTGAACAATGTGAGGGTTAGGGGCATCAACTTCCTGAAAAGTTGAACATTCCTGATAACTTTGATTCCCTAAAAACTTAACTACTAATAGCCTATTATTGACCAAAAACCTTACTAATAACTTAAGCAGTCAACACATATTTTGTATGTTTATGTTTTATATACTTTATAAAACTTTATATACTTTACAATATAGTATGCTATAGAAAAGAAAATGTTAAAATCCTGAGAAAGACAGAATACATATACAGTACTGTATATATCTATTGAAAAAAAATCCACGTATAAAGGACCCACATAGTTCAAACCCATGTTGTTCAAGGGTCTACTATATATGCTAAATGTCTAACAGTAGAGGGTTAAATAGATCATCGTATATTGTGAATAAGAGCACTCTGAAGCCATTAAAAATTATCTCATAAAAATTTGTAACCATGATATATTGTTAAGTTAAAAATTCAATTTATAAAGCAGTATGCACTGAATTATCTATTACAGTTTTAAATTTTTTTTTGGTACGTGCCCCTAGTGGGAACCGAACCCAGGACTCTCTGGGCCGCAGGCCAACGCTCCAACCGCTGAGCCAAACTGGCCAGGACTCTATTACAGTATTAAATGGATGTAAAAATACATGTAATTTGAGGCATATGTTCAAATATGAAGTGATAAGAAGCAAAATATTTCTAGTGGTCCTCTCCAGGGTTGCCTATGCATATCTTCTATAAGGAACATGTTTTTGTAGTAATAACACACAATACAGTCAGTGCTTTACAAACGCATGATATTTATTCAGCCTACCTAAAAGATTGTTTCAAAGATTAAATAAGATAAAGTGAGAAGACATGATTTAAAAACCATAAGAAAAAATACTACACAAGACACTGTTATCATCCCCATTATAAGGAAATTCAAAATGTTCACACTCCAGAGCTGACTCCTGTTATAGCTGAACACCCTGACGTCTCACCAATGGTCCTTAGTGTCTATTAGAAACAAGCTCCGGGGCTTAATGAGGGATGATGTGCTGTGTTTGTTTGTTTGTATAAATGCAATGAATCCATGCTGTAAACCAAACCTCTGCAGAGAGAAAGTACAAAAGGAACACAGGGATTTCCACAGTCAGGGAAGGGTGCAACCTTCCTTCCCATGCCAGAGAGCAGTTACCTGCTTTTCAGTCATGGCCTGCTCGTACTCAGCCTGCACCACATCAAGCTCTGCCTGCTTGTTGTCCAGCTCCGCCTGGGCCTTCTGCAGGTCCTGCATGGCCAAGATGTAGCGATTCTCCTGCACCACCAGGTTGGCCTGCACAGGACACGCAGGAGTTGGAGTGGGCCGCAAACAAAACATCCAACATTTCAGAGTCTGAGAACACTCAGCTATGACTCATGATTCTATCCTTAGGGTCTTTTCAAATTGTGTTAAGTCAAGACCAGATCTTCATGTGAACTTGACATCAACATTATTTTTTTTTATCCTCACCCGAGGACATTTTTTCATTTTTTGTTCAGATAGAGTGGGAGGGAGGGAGAGGAAGAGAGAGAGAGAGAGAGAGAGAGAGAGAGAGAGAGAGAGAGAGAGAGAGAGAGAGGAGACATTGACATGAAAGGTACACATTGAGTGGCTGCCACCTGCACGACCCAACCAGGGCTGGGGACAAACTGCAACTGAGGTACATGCCCTTAGCGGGAACCGAACCTGGGTCTCTCTGGACCACAGGCCGACACTCTAACCACTGAGCCAAACCGGCCAGGGCTTGACATCAACATTTGCAAGCAGAAAATTAGAATTCTTTAGAATAGAAGTCAGTAATTTTTTTTCCATATTTAGGATCTGGGGCCAAAAGATAAAATCAAGGCTATTGTTGAGTTACTTATTTAAAATTGTAAAAAGTGTTTCTTACTTCATGAGCCATACCGATACAGGCAGAGGGTTAGATTTGGCCTGTGGGCCTAAGCTTGCCACTCCCTAGATCAGAACATTGCAATATTCAATGTATATAAGTAAATTAAAGAATATTATGATATCAAGAGTTATAGAGAAAAAAATTTTTGTATTTGAAACCATCTGCCTAGCAGGACTGACCACTGTTGACAAGGATGTTGAAACAAGACAAAGGACAGAGCACACTGTTGAACATAGTGTTCTAGGTTTTGTGGGTAGTAGTCGTCTTAATGCTGTTCCTGTAATTTTCATATATCGCTTGCTTTCCAGGAAAGAATTGATACCTTGAGCTGTGTCCAATTAAAAATACTTGTTTTTCCCTGGCCAGTTTGGCTCAGCATTTAGAGCATCAGTCCATGGACCAAAGAGTCATGGGTGCAATTCCAGTCAAGAACACATACCTCAGTTACGATTCAGTCCCCTGCCCTGGCTGGGGTCATGAGGGAGACAACCAGTCAATGTGTCTCTCTCATATCAATGTTTCTCTCTCTCTCTCTCTCTCTCTCTCTCTCTCTCTCTCTCTCTCTCTCTCTGAAAATAAATGGAGAAATATCCTTGGGTAAGGAATGAAAATAAATAAATATATATATATATAAATGTTTTTTAAAAGCTACCAAATTAGACTCAAGAGGCATAATCAAAAGCAATATTAGCAAAAGATGAGGTAGAGAAAATAGTCCATGCTTACAGGAATTTAGATTCTTTTGTAAAAAAAAATTTTTATCAAATTTCTCCTTTTTAAATCTTTAAAATGTTAAAATTGACATTAGTGGGGAGATCCACTATGAATGCCATATTCTTTCTGAAGTGTTTGAAAAGAAAGATTACCTTAAATATATTCTTTTGCAATAAATTATTTTCCTATCTGAAAACCTCAGGCTCCTAAATTCTGACAGAATAATGCTTTAAGGGAAAGTCAGAGTTTTATAACTGACTGGCACCAATCACAAGCAAAAAGCATGGCTTAAAAGTTATAGTTTAAAAAAATAAAAAATAAAAACTGACTCTTGGAGCCTATTTTTTCTCAGCTCTGTTCTACGCTATACCTGTTGCCATGGCTTAAACTTAGAAGAAAAGCAAGGTCACTATGTCAACTTGGTAAGGTTACCCTTTAATGTCAAACTATCACAGCCCCAAAGATTTTGAATATTTTCTAAGACTTTACTAAAAAAAAAAAAAACTTTTTAATGAAACTCTCAGAAGTTGCTAACTAAAATCTATAGAATCTTTCACATCTAACTGTTTACCTTAGGAGTCACAGGACTCTATTTAGGTTACTTGAACTCTGGGAGCTTAGTTTCTCCACAGAGACATTAGAAAACTACCTCCTAGGACGCGCGCGTGCGTGAGTACGTGTGTGCGTGTGTGTGTTAAATAAGATAACATATGTAAAAACGCATACAACTAAAGTTCAGTAAATAATAGAGGTTGTTATTGTTACTGTTTGTGTTCAATATTTAAGGCTTTACTGCTGCAATGTTCTATTTCTACAAACTGATATTTACAGGTTTTCACAGAGTTTTCAAGGAGAAATCTCATTATAATGAACTTGAGTAAAATCTAAATTGCTCTTGTTATAATTAATATTTAAGTTTATTCACTGCTAGAAGTCAGTTGGCTCATTTATAGAAGTTGTAAGATAAAAGAGAATGGTCTCTATATGTCTTCAGTACTAATTAGCACTAAAAAGGTTTCAGCTGCAGTTTAATGAGTGTCCTTAATCTGTCCCCACTTAGGAAGCAGAAATCTGTGAGTGGAGCCCCTTCAGGAATAAGAGAAGTTAGAGGCCTCGGTCTGCATTGAGCAACATTGCCCAGTGGTAACTTGTACTCCCTTGTCTTCTGCTTCTCCCCACACTGTGATTGTGTAGGATCTAAGTGGCTGCACTTGAGGGACCTGACAAAATGAATGTTCCCAGATGCCAGGTGCTCCTGAGAGCATAGGAGGGCACCCCAGAATAGAATTCTCAGGATCAGAAGTGCAGGTTCCGGGAACAAGTAAAAGGTCCACACTTCAGATGGTGTTGCCTTCACTTCCTACTGTAGGGTCTAGATTGTCCGGGGACTGGGTGGAGGCTGAAATGTACTGGTCATAGGGGAGGAGACTTGCTGTTCTTATGTAAGCCTTGTTCAGAATGCCACTATTTCGTACTGAGTTCACCTCATTTTATTTAAAATAACTACCAAAAAATGAAAGCTATCTATCATGAATTTAACTACAATTTCCTTAAAGACAATAAGTATACTGCAAAAATTAGCAAAGGATGCCCTGTACTTTTTGAGATGGTGGTTATAATTCAGTCAATATCAGAATGTTGTTTTTGAGGCCATGCTGGAGTCTTCAGTGGTCCCCACTTTCACAATGTCAGATGGCACATCAATTATTTGCTCTAAAAGTCTCTGAATCAATGAGTCTTTTCTTTTAGGTTGCCCGAAGACCTCAGGGGTACCCACAACTGAATAAATGGTCCTGGTATAAGAATAATTAGAGAATAGAATGGAACTTGTAACTCTCCTTTCTACTCTCGATTATTTCTATCATGATTATTAAGCTTTTTGAGTAGTTGATAAGTGTAAGTGGATTTTAGCTGGTGATTGAAGGAGATCAGACTCATACAAAAGCAAAACAATCAACCAAGCCATGAGGCATGATTTTTGAGACATCGGTATCACATTTTCTTTTTTTCTTTTTTTATCTTCACCCAAGGACCTTTTTGCATTTATCTTCAGATAGAGTGGGAGGGAGAGAGGGAGAAACATCAATGTGAGACACATCGACTGGTTGCCACCCACACGACCCCAACCGGGGCCAGGGACAAACTGCTACCGAGGTACATGCCCTTAGTGAGAACCGAACCCGGGACTCTCTGGTCCGCATGCCGATGCTCTAACCACTAAGCCAAGCTGGCCAGGGCGGGTGTCCAATTTTCAAAACATGCACTCGCCTCTGTATCTGCTGAAGGCAGAGTGTCACTGAATGGTGGGGACTGTATACAAATGACATACGGAAATGCAGTCACTCAAAGGGAAACATAGACATATTCTCAAATCACATAAATCATAAACAGATAATATTCTGGTTCTTTCCTGAGGCACAAAGGACAGGGGAGGGAATTCTATGCCATGTCCTGCAACCAAGATCAGCCACCAATGTCTATGCCAACCTGCCTCTGCCTTTTTCACAGGATTTCCCGGCACCAGATCTTGCATATTATCAGGGAGTTCTGTGCTATAGTTTTCTGTTTCTTTTTTTTTTTTTTTTTAAGTTGACAATATGTTGGAAACTACCATCAGCCCACATGGGCTTAGTTTCCTTGCAGAGAGTCTGTGCTCAAAGGTTCACACCATTCTGATTGGAATAGGCTTACAGAGAGGAAAGACGCATCTTATGCCCAGCCTTTCAGTCACTTGCTGTCCCTGAGGATGTGAGTACAATGATACCAAAAGCCGAAAACTCCTGTGCTGTGTGAAAAGACAAGACCAGTTGACCTAGAAAGCCCTTGCGGGCGCGCATCACACAGTTTTTCCTAGGAGGCTTACCTTCAGAGGCAACACCTCTCTGTTTATAGAAAAAAAGGAAGCCATGGCTTGGGTCCAGGAACAAAGACCAGCTACATTCCCACATACACGTTTAGCAGTTTCGATGTTGTAGTCTGCCATTTCAAAGTAAGGGTGCAAGAATTCTATCACTTCTTCATTAATTGTGTCTTTTGGGAATTGCTATGTGGAAAAAAGGGAGTAAAATTAGGTGAAAATACTTCTTCTCAGGAGTCATGTTCACATTTGTCCACATGCTATTGAACACTGAAATGGATGAATGACATCATACATTGTCAACATTTCAGGATATCTGGCAAAAGCCCTGAAGGTGAAAGCAAAATAGGCAATAACAGCGAAGAAGCCAGAATACACTTTATCTTCTGTGGACAGATACACCAACCAACCCTAAATAAATTTTCTGTGATCCAAGGAAAAAGGAAATTATTTCAGGGATGAACACTAACATGGTTAATAGAATCTCAGAAGCAATAAAATGTTCATGTCATTAATCCTGAATAAGTGAATTACAAACCCATAAAATCAACAATGGAAAACAAATACACAGAGGGATATTTAGCCCAAGGACATATATACTTAGCATTTAGCAGCAACTAAATCCTTAATGCATTCAGACAGAGGTTCTATTAAACTCGCCTAAGATGTGAAGATAATAACTGAGACATTAGGCCTTGAGGGCGATGAATTAATTTTTAATCATAGAACTATCGAGAATATGAGAGGACTGTTACATTCTGGAGGAATAAAATTTTTAAAATGGTAGCAGAAATGGATAAAGAATGCCTTCTTGCATCAAGAGAAAACACTGACCAAACAATGAAATTGGATCTTTAGAAGTGGTGTTTGATCATCTGAAAGACGATGATTAAATGTTTTCCAAGTAGAAAAAAATTAGCACTTACACAGCTCAGTGAAACAAGCCCTCACGGAAGATATGTAATGTAGGGCAGAACAATTTCACTCAGACCTGTCTTAAGACACGTTTCTTGAGTGAACTTGAAAGAGTGAAGCCAGAAGCATATTCAGAAGCAACAGAAGGATGTTGGTGACTAAGGATAAACACAACGGAGCTTCTAAGATATGCATCTGCTCTGCCACCAGATACATAATGCAGGAGCCCAGAGTCACTTGCCTGGATTTACCCCACTGTTACGTTTATCTGGGAAAACACCCGTGTCACCATTACCATTCCAAAGCACCCAATCAGAGTTTATCACCACCTCCTTTCCACTCAGCATGTTATTCCTTCCCAGTAGCACTTACATAATAGAGTCTCCTATTTTAATTGTCTGGGACAAGTCTATGTGGCCCACTAGTTTCATAAGCTACTTACTGCTACAGCTGCTCTAAGATGATGTAGCCACAGTAACCAGTGGGCAATGTGGAATTAAAAACTGAATGAAAGACAGTGCTCAAGTTATCATTTGGGAAGTGGATATGGTTTGGGTATTCCCAATTAGTTGTCTCAAGATCTAAATATGAAAGATAAAACTTCTAGAAGAAAACACAGAAGCATTTATTCTGCTGTGGAGGTGGACAAAGTTTTCCTGAACAGAGCGCAGTGAGTATTGAAGGAAAATATTGAAAAATTGGACTACATTAAACTTAAGAATGTCTGCTTATCAAACTATTAATGGAATGAACAGCTAAGCTCAAAAGTGGGAGAAGATATTTGCAAACATATCAATGATAAATTACTCGTATTTTATATATGAAGAAATTCTATAAAGTAATAAAAATTTGAACTACCAACCTGTAAGTTCTGTAAAAAGTTCCCTGCAGTCATCAGTTTTAAAGATTCCTGCCAGGAAGGAATTGTACAGCTTTTTTCCAGGTCAATTTTCACTGCATTGACTTTCCTTTGAAACAGCAGCAGCACACAATCCATGATCCTCATGATGAGGTGAGGGGGCCGGCCCAGCGTGCGGACGGTGGCAATGTCAGAAGGCTTGATGGTCTGGGGGAGAAAAGGGGATTATCACCCAATCTCAGGTGAGAAAGTACAGACAAATCTTTCATCTCTAAATGCTATAATTTTTACAGAGGAAAACAAGCATTCTTAAATTAGATGCAGTCATGGGGGCCAGATGCCTATTTAATCCCAAAGAAACCCATGTCCCCAAAAGTTCAAATGTTTACAATTTAAACTGACAATGAGAAGAGAAATGAGCTGTGACTTCCCTAAAACTGTACAGACCACTTAGTGTCAGAAAACAGAAAAGTGTAATCCGGAAAAAAAAAAAGAATAGTCAGCACTTCTGTAGATACCAGGGATTCTCAACCAGGAAAACTCCAGTATTTGCAGTGCTTTTTGACTCATTAGTTATGTAGGTCAAGAATCTGCCTCTCTCTCCTAAGCAACTCTGACTTGTCACAGTGGACTGACACTAGTGGGTGGCCCCAGGGCTGACAGATTGAATAATTAGAGGTTTCTTAGCTAGAAACTGACCTTTAAATGACAGAACTTGAGCAATAAGAATTTCACTAAGCTGTTAGAAAAGTTCTGTTCCATTTCCAGTATAGAGATTCTTATGGTGTAAATTATTTAATAGTCAAATAGAACCGCTGTGGTTGATAATAACTGTTCTCTCTCTTGAACTCTTTATGGAATAAGTATTGGTAAATATTAAATGTATGAATCTGATACAGTCCCCTTTCTAGACAAATAGCATATGTCCATTCCTTCCAGGTCTTGAAAACCCTCCATCTTATTTGCATCTGCATCCCTTCTGCCAAAAAAGGTACCAATGGCCTTCTCATCACAGCCAATGATCGTTCCTCCAGGGACTGAGAAAGAAAAGAAAACCACTGAGCTTGATGATTAGGAATGTAACTATATACTGTGAAAAGGTTTGTCAACAGACCAGTATTTGTAAAGACAGGCAGCTGAAAGTGAAGAAGAATTTGTGGTAAAAAATAAAATGATAATAATAATAATTTAAAAACTAGAGATGGCAGACAGGCCTTTATTTGAGATGTGTGGCTATAAAAGAAAGGAGAGAAATATAATAGCAGCTGATTGGGAAAAGTGGGGTCAAATTAAAGTTACACAAGGTTTACACGCTGAACATGCTTATGTTACTTTAGAAACAGAAATTTTCAAACAGGATTGGGCTCATTTTGTTAAGATACCCAGGTAAAAGGAGTTGGGGAGAAGAGTATATATGAAGTTCAACCTATTTCATCTAATTACTGAAATCCTCTTTTCTCAGCAGGCAAAGCAATGTGACCACTATATAGTAAAATATAATAGTTATTTAACATCTGGAGGCATTTTGTATGTTTACATTGAGTCAGATTAGCATTGAGATGGAAGTTACACATTCTTTGCTGTTACTTTATTTGTTGTATTGCTTTATGTAGCCTGATCCCAAAATGTTAGAGTTTGGATGTACCTGAAACTTTCTTTGTATACACAGATTTGTATATTTCAAGATTTCAAAAGCTCCCAAAGAGGCAATAAAATGGAGACAGAACCAATGAAAGAAATTACTAAAACTATCTTGCACATATCCCATCATCTTACCTGTTCCCATGCATTTCTGCACTGATTATTACATAATCAGAACATTTCTGTGGTAGAGAACACTAAATTAGGAGGATACTGGAAAGTACTATAAAATATTAAAAGAGATGCTAACCCTTTAAGTCTTAGAAGAATGAAAGTACTGAAGCAAGACCTGAGATGAGATATTCTCTATTCCTATGATGCCACTAGGAATCATGAGTTCAATAAAGGTTAGAAGTCTTTTTACACTACCATTGTCTTCTCTCTGTTGATCAGACACTTTCAGAGAAGACAACGTGTCTAAAAGAGGTGGGAGGAGGATAAGGATCTCAGAGAGACATCGCATCTCCATGTTCTCTGCAGCACTATTTGCAATAGCCAAGATATGGAAGCAACTTGAATGTCCATCGATGGATTCATGGATAAAGAAAATGTTTTCCTCTCTCTCTCTCTCTCTCTCTCTCTCTCTCTCTCTCTCTGTGTGTGTGTGTGAGTGTGTGTGTGTGTGTGTGTGTGTGTGTGTGTGTGTAGTTCAGCCTTAAAAAAGGAAAAAGAAGTGCTTCTCTTTATGACATGAATGGACCTAGAGGACATCATGGTAAGTTAAATAAGCTAAACACAGGAAGACAAATACTATATGCTCTCACTTATATGTAGAATCTAAAATATCAGACTCATAGAAGTAGAGAGCAAAAAGTAGTTGCCAGTGGCTTGGGGGGAGAAGAAATGAGGAGGTGATGGTCAAGGGTACAAAGTTGCAGTCATGCAAGATAGATAAATTCTAGAGATCTATACAGCATAATGCCCACAGTTAACAATACTGTATTATATACCTAAAATTTGTTAAGAGGGTAGATCTTATGTAGTGTTCTTATCACAAATGATAATAATGACATTAAAGGGAGCAAGAGGAAACTTTGGAAGGTGGTAGATACTTCTATGGCCTTGTGGTGTTGATAGTTTCATAAGTATACACATGTCCCTGAACTCATCAAGTTGTACACATTAAATATGCACAGCTTTTTGCATGTAAATCATACCTCAATAAGTTGCTTTTATGAGGAGAAGAGATGAGGTGCCCACCAATCAGACAGACTGAAGACCCTGGAGGACTTCAAGGTCTAAGAAGGATAGTTTAGCCAGTGCAAGATGAAATGGTGAAGCGACAAGGAAAGACATGCCACATGTAAGTGCAGTGTGAAAAGTCAGAGAGATGAAAGAGAAGGCAAGATCTAATTCATCTATGGTATACTGACTCAAAAAGCTTAAAGACTGGACTTGGATAAAAAAAGATTCAGAAATGTTTCAGGAAGTGTGCTAAGGAAATAGTAAAAAAAATAATAATTACACTGCCAAATAATGATGGATGCTCAACTGAGGTTATATAACTTGATTTAGCGGTGAACAGATCAGCAGTGTTCTCTTTCTCCGTCAGCTTTTTAGGCCAGGAGTCAATAACACAAGGCAGTAGATGAGTAAGACTGAAGTAAAAGCAATCTTAAATTGAGCCCCCCAAAATACAAAATGACTTCAAAACTGGACTAGCCTTTTTAGGTGTGGTCTAGTTCACTAAACTCATCATATTCCCTCAGAATCTAACCTGCTTTCTAATTTCACTATTTGTTATGGCCACACAATTGCAGTAAATACTTGTGTTGGAAGCTTGCTCAGACTCGGACATTAACGAGCTGCTTTAAATCAGTCTTTCTTCATATGGATAATTCATAGATAAACTCTGAGAATGTTATGGCTTACAGACCCACTCCAATGTCCTCAAGGAATGAGTGAAGAAATGACATTTTAGCAATTTTATGTGGCTTTCCCAATGTCACATAGCTTATTGGTGACAGAGTGGAAATGAGAACTGAGAACTCCTGACTGCCATGATATGACACTGCCCATCAATCAATCACGAGTGAAGAACTGAGATGTGAAGTAGCACATGCAAAATCTATAAAGAGCTAATAACATCTCCAAGCAGAAAATATTACTTGAAGCTGTTCCCGTGGAGAGAGCTTTGGTCTGAAGCATTTCCTGTTGGTATTCATCTTCTCTTAGTCTTCCTCCTTGGCACTACGCTTGACATCTGCTATTTCACACAGATTTACCTGCAGGGCTGCTTCTGCTTCTTCTAAGGCTGGTTTGGCTGCTTCCAGTTTCTCCTCTGCAATGGCTTTATCTTTAGAGATGCTGTCTACAATGGCCTGTGCTTTGTCCTTCACTTTCTGTACCTCAGCCTTGACCTTTTCAGCAGCCTGTGCCTTCATCGTCACTTCTTTCAAGACCTAATCCAACATAAAACAAAAAAATACTTCCTCAGAAATTACCAAAGACCCAGCTGAAAAGGCATATTGTTGCCTTGATTTCTTGATGTTATACAATTTTTCCTACATAAAACTGAGTGTTGTATGGTAATGGAAATAAGTAATTTATACTTTCGTGGCTATAACTTCGCGACTATGCAAACATCATTAACATTTGTGAACGGGGACTTCGAAATGAATGTGAAGGTCCACTCACTGTGTCGGCTTTTTCATTTGCCACTTGCAGTTCCTTTTCTTTCACTTCCAGTTCTTTGCTCAGAGCTGCAACAGATTCCGAAGCTTCTTTTAGCTTTTTCAATCCAGTATTCATTCTGGGATTGAAAATCCAAGGCAGCAATGTTAACTTTGTGGTACTTGGCCACATAGTAATGACCATATGTGAAGAATGAGCATATATGTACAAAGTAACAAATCCATCAGGACTTGACAGGAAGGGTATGGGTCCAGGCTTGATTAAAGCCTGAAGACATTTGTGTGTTTTCCACAGGCTGTGTGTGTGGGGAGAGAACCTGCTAAAAATATTCTGCATGACATGAGGAACAACAGTGGGTCTAGCATCTGAATCCTGCAGGTAACATGCTTAATGAAGTTTAGCTAAGTGACAATAGACTTCAAGTGCTTGAAGCTCTGTCATGAGAAAGGAAAATCAATGACTTCCGCTTTTCAAAAGAGACCACTAAGGTTCAAAGAAGAAACATTTGGGATCAAGAGGAAATTAATTCAAGCCATCAGAACACTGTGGTGAAGGGGCTAGTTGCCTGCCTGAGCCTCAAGTCATGTGTCTGAAAGACTGGAGGGCTCGAAGTCATTTAGTCCATCACCCACCCAGGTGTCCCTCATGTGACAACCCTGACTAATTCTGGTCATATTCAGATAGAAGATGTAAGTGGTCAGAAAAGAGAAAGAGCAGGGCAGAGAGTAAAATTTGGAATAATCTTCTGCGAAGTAGGACATTCACTGTGCAGTAAATATAAGCAGTAGACAGACTATCCTAGACACTCGAAAGGGTGGCTAGAGAGTAGCAAGAGGAGGGAGGAGGTGAAGTCTGGGTTCTCAGTTTCCTTCCAGGTCTACTATTTCTTTTTTTTTTTTTCTTTTTTTTTTATCCTCACCCGAGGACATTTTTCCATTTTTTGTTCAGGTAGAGTGGGAGGGAGAGAGAGGAACAGATAGAGAGAGAGAAACATCGATGTGAAAGGAACACATCGAGTGGCTGCCACCCACACAACCGACCAGGGCCGGGGACAAACTGCAACCGAGGTACGCGCCCTTAGCGGGAACCGAACCTGGGTCTCTCAGGACCGCAGGTTGACGCTCTAACCGCTGAGCCAAACCGGCCAGGGCGGTCTACTATTTCTTAATGATGTCGGTCAATATTAGACAAAGTGGTAGGCCACATAAACACTTGGCAACATTTTATCCTGTTGGGCAAGAATAAAGCCCCTAGCGACCACAATCCCTTGAATAGTCTTGAGAGAAGGGTTTCTCAGCTTCAGTACTCTTGGCACTTGGGGCTGAAGATGCTCTGATGTGGAGGTTGTCCTGTGCACTGTGAGATGTTTAGCAGCAGCCCCAGCCTCTACTTATTGGACACCAGTAGCAACGCTCCACGCCCCCACCACCCAAGTTTTAACAAACAAAAATGCTCACTAGGAGTAAATGTTTCCCTGTTGAATGCCACCACTTAAACATACCTCTGCATTTGAACTTCACACCTACCTGTTGGCCAGAGTTTGCACTTCCACATGCTTCTCTCCATATATGAACTTATAGCCCTGAATAAAGGAGAGATATGACTTGGGAGTCACGTGGGTAGAACGCCGGAATCTCTGGAAATAATCAACACACTTTTCAGCTACCCCATCCTGGAAGGATCCCATGCACTGGACCACTTCCTTCTTGGTTTCCAAACTGCAGTCAATATCATAGGAAGAGAGGAAGTGTTCAGACACTAGAAAGAATAAAGACGACAGCATGTGAAATACGAACATGAATTACCATTGTAAAGTTAACTGGCTATTTTTTAAAGACTTAGACATTTCTTAGGACTCCATACCATTCTTATAGACCCAGCTAGGTAGATATAAGTCAGCATTTTTGGTCCCAGGCCTATGACATCAATAATTTTATTTTCCCTTTCATGTGCAAAACTATCACAGACTTTAAGCCTATCATCATTCTTTGTATTCTGGTACTTATGCAAAGAAGTCTCTTCCACGCAGCTGCAGGTTCTGGTGAGCAGCCAGCCTGTTTTATGCTTTATATAAGGGCAAAAGTGGTACAAATAACTCAGAAATCAGTGCCCACCTGGTACTCATATTTAACAATCTCATTTATTTTTTTCACTCAGAACCTGTCAAACCCTCAATTCCCCCATGCTCTAAATGCATTTGGCATGTGGAATGTTCACTACTAAATTTTTTTATTCCTAGGCCAACTTGTTCTTAAATGTAGCAGCTAGTCAACTGCGGTCCATTCTAATTTACAGCATCATTTAAAAATGTTCAGGTGAAAATCTCCTGTGGTCAACCTTTATCTTCCCAACAGTGCCAAACACAGGACCAATTCTAAGACAGCATTTTCTCTTATAAGAATAGGCCACAAAGTCAGAGCTAATCAATCACCACATACATACTAAGTGTCTGCTGCATACCCACCACTGTGATGGTGCCATGGAATGAGAGGAGGATGGCACTCAGTCTCAACCCCAAAGAAAGTAAAAGGTTTTACATAATACAGTTAAAACTTATCACAACCGTCTTTTGTTGTTGTTGTTGTTGTTGTTGTTGTTTTTGTTGTTACAGATGTTTCTCCTTTTTTTCTCCATTGACACCCTCCTCCCCGTCCCCCCACCCCACCCCCGTCCCCGGCTTTGTTGTCAATGTCCATTGGTTATGCATACATGCATATAAGTTCTGTGGTTTATCTCTTTCCTCCCCTCACCACTCCCTCTTCTGAGGGTTATCAGTTTGTACCCTACTTCCACGTCTCTGGGTCTACCCTATTCCTCAGACTGTTATTTGTTCATTATTCCACAAATAAGTGAGATCATGTGGTATTTGTCTTTTTCTGCTTGGCTCATTTCACTTAGGATAATACTTTCCAGGTCCCTGCATATTGTCTAAAAGGATAAGAGATCTTTCTTTCTTACAGCTGCATAGTACTCCATTGTGTATATGTACCACAGCTTTGTTATCCATTCGTCTACTGATGGACATTTGGGCTGTTTCCAGATCTTAGCTATTGTAAATAGTGCTGCTATGAACATGGGGGTACATATATTATTTCTGATTGGTGTTTCAGACTTCTTAGGGTATATTCCTGGAAGTGGGATCACTGGGTCAAATGGAAGTTCAATTTTTAATTTTTTGAGGTAACACCATATTGTTTTCCATAGTGGCTGCACCAGTCTGCATTCCCACCAGCAGTGTACTAGAGTCCCCTTTTCTCCACAACCTCGCCAACACTTGTTTAATGATTTGTTAATGGCAGCCATTCTGACAGGTGTGAGGTGATAACTCACTGTTGTTTTAATTTGCATCTCTCTGATGATTAGTGATGATGAGCATTTCTTCATATGTCTCTTGGCCATTTGTATGTCCTATTTGGAGAATTGTCTATTTAGCTCCTCTGCCCATCTTTTAATTGGGTTCTTTATCTTCCTTTTGTTGAGTTGTATGAGTATGCTATATATTTTGGAAATTAACCGCTTATATCACAACCATCTTTATGAATCTTACCACAAAAAAATGGCCTATAGATTTGCTTTAAAAATACTTAAAATTGCCCTGGCCAGTTTGGCTCAGCGGTTAGAGCGTCCGCCTGCGGTCTGGAGAGACTCAGGTTCGGTTCCCACTAAGGGCACGTACCTCGGTTGCAGTTTGTCCCCGGCCCTGGTTGGTCGTGCGGGTGGCAGCCACTCGATGTGTCCCTTTCACATCGATGTTCCCCTCTCTCTCTCTTCCTCTCTCTCCCTCCCACTCTGTCTGTACAAAAAATGGAAAAAATGTCCTCGGGTGAGGATTAAAAAATAAATAAAAAATAAAAATACTTAAAATATTGCATAAGAGCCACAAATAGAAATATGGCCAATTAAAAGGAAAATAAAGAGAAGGAATCAAGTGAACATACCTATCAGGTGGGCAAAGAAATAAAAGATATCTTTTCACCAGTAGTAACTCATCACTAAATTAATGTTGGTAATTGTGTGGCAGTATTTACATCTATGTAAGTAATAGAAACTATTTATCAACTTGTTTATAAATACAGCTTACCATATACACTGAAAGGCAATAAATTAAGACACTCAGCAGTCTTAAAGAGAATAGTTTAAATTCCAAGAAGTTTAAGTCTGAAAACTGGAAACACAGGAACAATTCTTACCTATGACAAAATTTTTGTAGGTATTAACTACAACAGCTCCAATAATCACTGTGTGCCACACATGTGCTTTACTTGGAACTATGAGATATCTTCAAGAAAGTCCCTACTTTCTGAATACTTCCCTGGGTTCCCCGTGTAATAATTATTTCCTTCTTATGTAAATAGAGAATATCAATAATGGTATTTTTTTTATGTAGGCAAGTTGTCTTTTTGCCTTTCCAAAAAGTCAAAGAGAATAAAAATGAGACTGATTCAAAGTATGTTTTTTTATAGACCCACAATCTCGGATGCAGGAAAGGTTTTACAAAAAATTAGATAACTTCCTCTTAGGGTGATCCAAGCCTGCTGAGACTCAGACAAGACGCATGGAAAACCTTTCCATCACCTTCAATATCCAAACACCAAGGTAGCAATGCTAGTACTGAGGCCCAGCTTCAGGTGGTGTCTGAGGTTGTAAGTTATATCCTGGTAGTGTGTTCATGTCGCTTGATGGGGAATCAGGTGAGGCATGTACAGGATAGAGGAAGGGGGACACTGAGCTCAGTCTCTAAATTTTGGTGTCCCCTTAATTTCCCCTTCATTTGAGAAAGAACTAAGGTAACAAAGTGAGGAAGGCACTTTAGTTGTCTATCCAGTAGCCATTCCTGCTTCACTACTAAAAGACCCCAATTTTGCTCAGGGTAGCAATCTGTCCAACTAAAACTCATTGATTCCCCAGATCCTCTTGTAACTAGGGGTGACCCAATTCTGGACAATGACATATAAACAAAGTTTCTGGGGAATAATCCTGCCCTGAAGTAAAAGGCAAAGCTTCAGACAGGTTTCCTTGAAATGCAACAGCCATTTGAGACTATTGGAGGAAGAACCACATCCTAAGGATGACAGGACATTGTCCTGCACTGTGCACTTTGCATTTTCTTGGTAGCAGAAAAAAGAAGAAAAGAAACAAGACTTGTTTAAGCCACTACTTCCCTGGTTTTCTCTTAAGACAAATTCTCTTAAGACAAATTCTCTTAAGAGACATTCAACCCTGGCCAGTTTTGCTCAGTGGTTAGAGCGTCAGCCTGCAATCCGGAGAGACCCGGGTTTGGTTCCCGCTAAGGGCACGTACCTCAGTTGCAGTTTGTCCCCGGCCCTGGTTGGGTTGTGCAGGTGGCAGCCACTCGATGTGTCCCTTTCACGTCGATGTTTCTCTCTGTCTCTCTCTTCCTCTCTCTCCCTCCCACTCTATTTGAGCAAAAAATGGTAAGGTGTCCTCAGGTGAGAATAAAAAAAAAAAAGATACATTCAGAGGGCAAGCATATCTAATCTTGGAAGATCCTAAATAACAAAACCTTATCAGTTAACCCTAATAAAACCCATACATGACAGATATTATTGTGTCTATATTGCAGATGAGAAAAAATGAGGCTCAGAAGAGTTTGCTTATGGGTGTCAGATTTGGAATTCTAACCCTAGGATTATGGACTCCAAAGTCCAGGTCACTTTGATTTAAAAATTCAAATTGAACCAAACTATGTAAAGTCTTTAGAGTACTAGAAAACATTTTTAACAGATGCCCAAAGTTCAAAAATATTTATTGACTGATGAGCATCATAAAAATATGACCATTTTTCTGAAAAACCATGATCACCCATGTGATTTGTATGACTTTCTGAGGGGTTATTAGGTGCAATTGCCTCATTTCTCTTTATACTACACCATTAGTTGTGAACAGTTGCAGAAGCAGAACTTATAAGACCAAAATATTATATAGTATAAATAAAGTAATAATTTTCAAGGAAGGCCATGTGATTTACATAAAATGGCCTTCTTTGAAAAAAATACATATGCCAAATATGTATTACTGATTTTGCTTAACACTTCATTTTCAAGTGAGGATGGACTATTTTCAAAACTAAGTGCTAGTTTAAAATGGAATCTAGCAGAACATTACTAATTATCTTTACCTTGGAGAAATCTAAATGAAGTTAATTGATTTAGTAATGAGTTTGGAATCAAGGTTTCATTAAGGAATAGACCACCAGAATGAAGATATTTAGAGACAATTAATTCAAAACAACTCCATATAAAACAAAACAAAGATTTGCCAAAATGGAGACTGTTAAATGGTGGGGAAGACAGATTTTTACAACATAAAATGAAGTGTATATTTTTTAAATGCTTCCTCAAGAGACTCAGTCAATTTAAATTCAAATATATAAAAAACTATTGTTATTAAGATATTACAAATATAATATTAAATTTCTAAGCATGTTTAAATTAGAAAAAAATAAATCTCCATAATAATAACAAATTACCCAAAGGAGAAATTAAGAAAACAATCCCATTTATAAGAGCATCAGAAAAAAAAAAATAAATACTGAGGAATAAACTTAACCAAGGAGGTGAAGACTTGTACATTGAGAACTATAAAACACTAATGGAGAAAACTAAAGTAGACATAAATATACATCAAATATTTATGAGAGGGAAGAATTATTAGTTTTGTTTTTTTTTTTTTTGTTTTTTTTTATCCTCACCCGAGGATATTTTTCCATTTTTTGTACAGAGAGGGAGGGAGAGAGA